TATTTTTTCATTATTTCTTACCTTTGTTAGAGGAGGGTTCTGTTGAAGGAGTAGTAAAATTAGATGACCTCTCAGATCCTGTCCAGCTGTGAGATTGTGTAATCCCATATCCTTAATCTGATGCTTACTAGAAGTGTGATTCTAAGCAAACCATTCCCCCTCTCTCTAGGCCTCAGTTTTTTTCATCCGTAAAATGAGAGGATTTAAGGAGAAAAGCTATTTCTAAGGTCCCATCCAGAACTAAAATTCTATGAAAAGAATTAAGGTATTAAAATAGTAATTTTGTGAAATAAAGTCTAAAACTAAATATTGACAAATATTTGCTAGATTCTTATTTTTGTGTTATAAAATTTATATTCCACTTAATAGTATTTTATTTTTTCCAATTACATGAAAAGATAGTTTTCAACATTGACTTTTACAAGATTTTGAGTTCCAGTTTTTAGCCCCACCTCCCTGAGATAGCTTGCGATCTGATACAGGCTATACATGTACTATCCTATTAAACATATTTCCACATTAGTCATATTGTGAAAGAAGAATCAGAACAAAAGGGAAAAACCACGAGAAAGAAAAAACAAACAAAAAAAGAGAAAATAGTATGTTTCAATCTACATTCAGACTCTGTAGTTCTTTCTCTGGATGTGGGCAGCATTTTGCACCATGAGTCCCTTGGAATTGTCTTCGATCACCGAATTGCTGAGAAGAGCTAAGTCTGTCAATGTTGGTTGTTGCACAGTGTTGTGGTTACTGTGTACAATGTCCTCCTGGTTCTGCTTACTTCACTCAGCATCAAAATTTATAACATTAAAGGCTATCTGGACTTCTTCATTTGCAAATTGAGGGGATTGCACTAAATAGTCTTTAAGGCCCTCCCAGCTCTAAATCCTCTGATGCCATGTTTTTCCCTAGAGTTCTTGGATTTTCTCCTTCCCTTAGGTAGAAACAGAAGGGAAATCCGCTCCTTGTTCTGAACTTGTTTCTGAAAGCTCTTTTTAAAATGGAAAGGATTTATTGTTGTTCTTTTGTCCCATCTGAAAGCACAGAATTAACTAGGGCTTAGCTAAGATTCATTCCTTTTTTTTTTTCAATGTTAAATTCTATTTCTAAAAATCAAGTATTTATTTTCTCTCCCACCTCCACTCCTCTCCCTTGCTGGAAAAAGGAAAAGAAAAATATGCATAGTCAAGCAGAACTGATTTCCACATTGTGGCCAAAAATGTGTGTCTCATTCTGCTTATTTACTCTATCACTTCTCTGTCAAGAGATGGACAGCATTCTTCATCCTTTGCAGTCATGGTTGATCATCTTGTTGATATGAGTTTCTAAGTCTTTCAAAGTTGAATCACTTACTTCTCAGAGGGAACTCTATCCTGGCATATCTGTCTCCTTCTGGCCAAAGCCCAGTTCTTCATAGTCTCTTCTGTCAATCTTGTTCTTGTAATGATGAAGTATCACTGTGCTTTAGAACTTGAAGGCACTTAAAGGTCATCTTCATTTGAATGATGAAGCCAAGGCCCAGAGAAACAAGTGTCACACACAGAGTTAGTGTCATCACTAGGACTAGAACTCATCTCATTTCAGCTCATCAGACATTGCAATGCCTGCTGCAGGTAGTGTGCCCCTCACATGGCACTAGATATGAAAAATTTACAAGTGATTGTTTTTGCCTTTGACAGGTTTGCAGTTTAATAAGGAAGACTCTATGTATAGAGAGGGTGTTAGAGCTTTTTTTTTTTAAGTATTGTGAGAAATTTGAAGAGGAAAAGATCAATTTTATTTCAAGGAACCTGGAACATGAAGAAGCTGAATTGGACCTTCATTAAACCTGGCTCCCAGCCTAGTGCATGATCCAGGATATCACCTTGCATTCCAAAGTGATGCTGGTTTTAGATTTGGACTGGGAGATCCTAAAGGGTTTTCACTTAGACCTATATCAGTGCCATTTCCCTTTGTGCTCTCAGATTGCCCTCCTTCTAAGTCAATTCCTAGGATTAATCCTCCAATATCTCAAGAAAGTAACCATTTATATAACTTCCACTTCAGTAGAAGTCTTCAGTTGGTACTTGAACAGGACACATTTATTTCTTTCTATGGATTTTTCCTTTGGAATGGGCATTACTGTCTTATAGCACTTTCTTCCCAGTAACCTATAGAAATGGTTCTTACACCAAAACTAATCTTAAAGAAGTTCATATTTGTAAAGCACATTTGTGATCATGTAGTCCAATGTATACTTTAAAAAGAATTTCCTCCTCAAAATACCCAACAGGTAGTCATCCAACCTTGATTTGAGGAGCTGTCCAACAGCTCTTGTTGTCGTCATCATATTCTGTTTTGTAAGTATTTGTCTGCATTTTATAGTCTCATCTCCCTACTCTTCCCAGTTAGGCCAAAAGCACCTTAAGAGCCCAAAGATATGTCACTTTCATCTTTATATTACAGCTCCTTGTACACAGTAAGTATTTTAATAATTAGCAAATGTTTGTGGAATCCAAAGTGATCCTTTGAACTTTTTCTTTCATCAGTGATTTGACTGCTTGCTTCCCTGTTCTGTCCTTTAGATTGTAAGCTCCTTGAGAGTAGGACCTATGTGCGTGCCCTCTTGCTCTCTCTCTCTCTGCATATGTGTGTGTGTGTGTGTGTGTGTGTGTGTGTGTGAAACAAGTCACTGTACATCCTTTATAGGCAAAGAAACATTTGCTGAATTGAACTGGTGAGGAAAGTTAGAGATATTGAGTAAGTATTACTCTGTCTCCATTACAGATGAGTGAATGCATGAGTAGTGATGGAGCCTAGACTCAAAACTATCTCAAAGAATTCAGTGTATGACTCTTTCCACTCTAAGACACATTAGTTTTACAGGCCAGACTCACTTATTAGGTCCCCCTCCCCCCCAAAAAAAGATCTTGTCATGATCCAAACAGATCTCGATAGGATAGAAAATTGGACTAAACCCTGTAAGGCTCATTATTGGCTTAAAAAAAAAAGGTCAATTTCCTGTATACAAAAGCCATGCAAAACAATATTAAGTTTAAGGAGTTAGTGTTCACTTTCAGCTGGGGGGGGGGGGGATGGTGTCCAAAGAAGGCTTCATGAAGAGAGAGGGGACTTCAGTGGACAGATTAGGTAAAGAAGTCATTCTATATATACTAGATATCATAAACAAAGGCAAAGAAATGAGAGAGAAGAAGAGGTTATGGAAATAACCCTATTGGATTAGAATTAGAATGGATGGAGAGGGTATAATATGTGATAAGGCTGGAAAGGTCAGTCAGAACCAGATCATAGAGGACCTTGGATAGGAAAGACAGAGCCTCTTGAGGATTTTGGGATGGAGGAGCAATGTGATTAGCACTGTGCATTAGGAAGATAACTAGGGTAGCTATGTGAATTCAAGACTGATAGATAGTTATGATAATCCTGGGAGGGTCCTGACTAGTGTATTGGCAATGTAAATGGGTGGGAGAGGGGGAGGGAGGGCCAGTATGAGAGAGATTGAGAAGACATTTCAATTAACAGGATTTGGTATCTCATTATCTGTTCTGGGAAAAGGAAGGTTAAAAATTACTTGTGTTTTAGTCTAGGTGCCTGAGGCAATAGTGATGCCCTTAGTAGAACTAGGGAGTTGGGGGGCAGAGGGCTAAGTTTGAGAAAGAAGGTAATGAGTTCAATTTGTGGTTGCCGACAGGACATTCAGGTAAAACTATCCACATCACAAAGTTATAGCTGGAAAGGACCTTAGAGATCATCTAATCCAATTACCTCATTTTACAGATGGGGAAAGTGAAGCCTAGAATGGGGAAGTGACTTGCCCAAGATCACACAGCTAGCCAGATAATGAATGCGAAAGTACTTGGTAAATGGTAAGGAGTTATACAGATGTAAAGGGTGGTTGCTGTTGTTTTTATTGGTCTCCTCTGTTTTGAACAGGAGCCCTGGCTCCCTATTGGTAGGTCTGTATTGCTTTCTCCTTTACTGTTAAAGAAATACCCAGGGACCAGCAAAACCATGGCCAAGCACAGTAGGTAGTCTTGGCTGTATTTCAGTCATGATTTCCCTATCTACTTACTTGACCCTACATCCTTCCCACACTTCAGCGATAGACATGAAATTTTTATGTCTGTTCTATAAAATGAGAACATTTAGTGCTGATGCTGAGATAGCATTGTTTTTCTGAGGACTTCCCAGATTTTCACAAAATGTCCTTCCACTTCCTCATGAACCCCTGGGAATCAGGAAAGGGAGGAATGTTCCACCTGTTTTAAAGGTCATAGAACCATAGAAGTCAGAGCTGGAAAAAATACTTGGAGATAGTTTTATCTATCCTTCTCTCTTTACAGAGGAGAAGATTTAGGCCTAAAGGTACTGGGACTTTCTAAAGTCCACTACTAGCTGAGCCAGTTTTTTTTCAATCTCAGTCCATAACTCTGCTTTCCTCCGTACTCACATTTAATCTCAGCAGCCATGATCAACCCATATTATTGTTTAAAATAATAGCAATTGCTCACATTTTTCTAGTACTTCAAGATTTGCTAAAGCATTTCTTTCATAACAACCTTGGGCCTTGGTATAAGTGACTAAAGAAATAGAAGTAAAGGAGGGAGGTGTAGTATATGTGTTATTTTCCTCTCTTTACAGTTGAGGGAACTGAGATTTAGACCGGGAAATGACTTGCTCATAGTTTCACAGCTGGGAAATATTAGGGTTCAGTTTCTTCATAAGTAAAATGAGGGTTTTGAACTAAATGACCTCTAAGGCACCTTCCAGTCCTCAATCTATGATTCTATGACTCTGACTGTGAACTTAGGTCTCCCATTTCCAGCTCCAACATTCTTTTCACAAGATAATGGTCATTTTTTGTTCTGCCATAAAGGACAGAGTTTGACTCATTCTTGCTTCTCTCTCTCTCTCTCTCTCTCTCTCTCTCTCTCTCTCTCTCTCTCTCTCTCTCTCTCTCTCTCTTTCTCTTTTTCTCTCTTTCTCTGTCTCACCTCCAGTTCTACAGTGCATCAGGGATGCCTACCAAGCATCTCTCGGACAGTGTCTGTGCAGTGTGTGGCCAGCAGATCTTCGTGGATGTCAATGAAGAGGGAATCATTGAGAACACATACAGACTGTCCTGCAATCATGTGTATCCTGCCCAGAGTCCACACTCCTTCCATTAGGCTTCCCTTTTGGCCGTGGAAGAAGGAAAGGGTGGTATCCATGTCACCAGGCTAACTGGGGCCTGCATCTATGACCCAAGCTAGCCACAGGTGGGAGGTGGGGGGGACCAGCAAGCCGATTAAATTCAGCAAGCATTTATTAAACACTTACAGTGTTCAGAGGCTTGTGCTCAGCACTGAGGGAGATACAGAGTTTAGATAAGACATTGTCTTTCTTCGTGTAACTCACAGTCTATTGGTGGGGAGTAAATTGTTCCAAGAAAGAATGGAAGAAATCCTTCATGGAGGAGACAAATAAGACAGCAAATGTGATAAGACACAAGGGAATTCTAACTTGGTTGTAGAATAGAGAACTATGACAGGAGAAAAAAAGGAAGAAGGAAGACCACCAAACATTTGGAACTAAGCACCAGAGTTAAGATTTTTCCAGTCATGGGTAGAACTGGACCGTCTGCTATGGAACTAAAGGGGCCATTAGCTGAGAGATCATCAGAGAGAAAAAGACAAGCTGCAGTGGTTGGTGACTCCTGCTGAGAGGTACTAAGGTGGCTATTTGTTGACCTGTAGCACATAGTAAAGTGGTCTGCTATCTTTCCTGGGCATGAATCTAGGAAGTGTTAGAAGGCTTCCAAGACTTGTCAGACTCAGTAATTACTGTACATTTCAGATTATCAAGGTGAAGACAAATGATATGTCAGTGTGATGAGAAAAATCACCAAAAGGAACCTGGGAAACATTGCTAAGAACCATGAAATCCTGGGGGAAAAAAATTAAAATGAAGACTTTAGGGTCCTCTCATCACTACTATGAATGGAAGGGAGGAGGTTAAGAAGAGAAAGGCAGATTTGGGAAATGACTATCTAGCTAAGAAGATGGTGTCTGAGAGCAGGATTTGGAATTCTTAGCCGCAGTTTAAAATAGAAGAATGATGGATTCTTCATCAGGGATGGTATAGATACCTAAGAAAACTATAATCTGTAGAGTTTTAAACTGAAAAGGATTGAGGAGGGGAAAAAAGCTACCCCTATACATATGCAGCGATGGGTACCACTGGAAGAAAGATAACAGAAGAGAGGACCTGGACTTTATAGGAAAGAATATTCAAGAATAAAATTCAACTTTTTATACACAAATGTACAGAGTGTGTTTAGTAAACCAGTTGAACTAGATATCCAAACCTAAGGAGGCCAATTTGACCTTATGGATTTAGGTGGGATATAGTAGGATAGAACTCATTACTGAGAAATGGTTCTAAAACTGCATACCTTCTTCAAAAGGAATATAGGTAGAAGGGATGATTTAGTAGCATTATATATTAAAAAGATATACCTAGGTTGAAATCTGGACACTAAGGACTAAAATATGGTGGGAAGCATTTGGAGGGGAAGAGATAGTGGGAGGAACCATTATAAAATGTTACTGTCATGGAACTGCACTATGAACTACCAGGAAGGAGAGATTTGATGAGGTATTCAGGAAATCAATCACAAACAGAAACATGATGATATAATGATGGGGGCCTCGATCTGGTTATCTGCTTGAGGTCTATTTCTGCCGAAATCAGGCCATAACTTAATGACTTCATCTTTCTAAAAGGTAGAAGAAGCAACAAAGGGAACTGCTATTCTGGGGCCCAATTCAGACAACAAACCAGTAGAAACTGAATACTACAGTACAAGAGCTTTCTTTCCATTATAGAATTAATGCTAGGAATGGAGAGCTAAGCTAGGCAGAATATGCCTTATATCCCAAATTTTAGATGAATGGATTTCAAAGAGTTCAGAGAAAGGAAAGGTAGGCTCCCATGGCCTAATATTCTGGAGGGGGAAATTGGCTCAAGAGAGACAGAAATGTCTCCGTAATATAATCCTGAAGAGATTAGCCTAAGTTATTTCCATGAAAAGGAAAAAGGGGAGTTACCTAAAGAAACTAATGTGACCGAACAAGATTTTGGTATTGTTTTGGGGTTTTTTTGGTGTTTTTTTTTTTTTTAGGCAATTGGGATTAAGTGAGTTGTCCAGGGTCACGCAGCTAGTATCAAGTGTTTGGTCTGAGGCCGGATTTGAACTCATGTCTTCCTGACTTCAGGGCTGGAGCTCTAACCACTGCACCACCTAGCTGCCCTGAACAAGATTTTGGTAAAGACAAGTCCAGAACACACAAAGGCAAATAAGGATTAATAAAGAAGTGTAGCACAGACCTATAAATGTAATAACAAAAGCGCCAACATCTGGATTGACATGAGGCTGCTGATAAATACTAAGGACGACAGAGGGAGATGGTTTTTATTTATGAGGAATAAGAATTCCCTTAGAAAGTGCATAGGATCTTTGCTTGGAGTGGATGGCCTGATAATAACAGCATAAATGATTCAACTTTTATTTTACTTCTATTTTTTCTTCTAAGGAAAATGATCTTTGGTATTAGGAAAGAATAACAATGGTTAGCAAGTTAGGCAAAAGTAAAGCAGCATCTAACTATCCTCAGTTCATATCACAAGGGCTGACCAAACTACATCCCAACATACCAAAAGAACTGGCATATGTCCATCAGTCAACTAGTATTTATTAAGCACCTACTACATGGTGGCTAGATGGTGAAGTGGTTAGAGCACTGGGCCCAGAGTCAGGAAGACCAGAGTTGAACCTGGGCAAATCACTTAACCTCTGTCTGCTTCAGTTTTCTCAACTGTAAAATGGAGATAATAGTACCTACTTCCCAGGGTTGTTGTGAAGGTCAAATGAGAAAATATTTGTAAAATATTTAGCACCATGCCTGGCACATAGTAGGGGCTTAATAAATATTTGTTTCCTTCCTTCTTAATGCTTGTCAGTACAAAGGAAGCAAAAACCCTGCTCTTGAGGAATTCACAGTCTAATATTAGCCGGAGATAGTGTATGCAAGCAACTATGTATAGACAAGATATAGACAAAATAGATTGGAGATAATTCACAGAATTAAGGGGGTTGGAAAGGTCTTCCTGTAGAATGTGGGACTTTAGCTGGGACTAGAAGGAAATTTGGAAGGCCAGGAGGTGGAGATGAAAGGTACAGAATTCCAAGAATGGGAGGCAGCCAGTGAAAATGCCCAGAGTTAGCCTATAGAGTGCTATGTTTGAGGAACAGCAAGAAGCTGATGCCAGTGAGTTACAGAGTACATGAAGGGGAGGAAGGTAGAAGACTGGAAAGGTAGAAAAAGGCCCAGTTATGGAAGGCTTTAAAAGCCAAAGAGACGATTTTATGAGGTCCTGGAGGTGATAGAGGAGGAGATTCAGCTGCAGTTGAATGGGGGAAGGGGGTGTTTGTACAGTGTGATATCATCAGCCTTGCACTTTAGGAAGATCAGTGTGACAACTGAGTGAAAGATGAACTGGAGTAGAGAGAGACTTTAAACGAGACCACCAATCAGCAGGCTATTGCAATGGCTCGGATATGAAGTGATATGATTACTGAGAATCCATCAGTGATCTTTGAAAAGTCTTGGAGAACCATGACAGGATTGATAAAAGACAAGTGTCCTGATTTGCCAAAAAGTGGAGCAGAGGTAGTGTCCAGTGAATTTTATATTCCTGGCATAAGTGTAGAAAACATTAAAGGAATGGCTTGTGAACATTTAGAAACGGGACCCGTGATCACTAATAATTCCTATGGCCTCATGAAGCACAAGTCTTATGCCAGATTAAACTTCCTCTTTTTTTTGACAGGGTTACTAAAACACAGGAATTCTGAAGACATGGTATCCTTAGATTTTAGCAAAGCATTTGACAGAATTGCTCATTCTGTCCTCATAGAAAAGTTGGAGAGCTGAACTTGATAAATAAGGTAGTTAGATAGACTGGTTGAAAGATCAGACCCCTACAATAATCATTAATGGGTTGATATTAACTTGGAGGTTAGTTTCTAATGGAGTGCCTCAAGGATCTGTTCTTCTCCCTCTGCTTGTCGGCATTTTATCAGTGACTTAGATGTACTCATCAGGTTTTTGGATGACACAGAGTTGGGAGGAATTAGTGTCCAAGATGGTCTCAGTCTAGAACAATGGGCTGAGTCAAATATCAAATGCAGTAAGTATAAATATAAAATTCGACATTTGTTTTCAAGAAAATCAGCTTCATAAGTACAGAGTGGGAGAGATGTGGTTAAACAACAGACAGCATGAAGAAGACGGGGAATTTTTTTGTGTCCTGCAAGTTTGGTATGAGTGTGACACAGCACAACAATAAAAGCTAATTATGTCCTATGTTGCATTGAGCAGCTTAGTGTCCAGAGCAAGGAAAGAGATTGGCATACCCTGGTCAGCCGCATCAGCAATATTGTGTTCAGATCTGGGTGCCACGTTTTAAGAAGGTCGTAGACAAGCTGGAGAGCATCCACAACAGAGTAACCAAGTTGGTAAAAGGAACTGGAAAACCTGTCTAGAGGATAGAGGAACTAGGGATGTTTACCCTGGAGAAGAGAAGATTGGGAAAGGGGGGGACAGTAGTCTTCAAATACTTGAAGAATTGTCATGGAAGAGGAATTCAACTTGTTTGATTTGGTCCCGATCTGGAGGGCAGGATCAGGGTCACTGGGTCGAAGTCATAGAGAAGGGGATTTAGGCCACATGTCAGGAAAAACTTCCAAACAATTAGAGCTGTCTAAAAGAAGAATCGTAGTGCAAACAGGAGGGGCAAGACATGGTGTTATGTGACTTCAGGTATCTGATCCAGAAGTTTTGGAGAGGAAAATGCCTTGACTTGACCTGAAGAGTCTTACACTGAGTAGAATCTGACTGCTCACTTGGAACATCAGGTCTTGCTGAGATCAGGTACTGAGAAAGGGAGACCAGGGCTTCAGTGGTGTGGGGAGAGGAGGAGGAGGGGGAAATTGAACCCCAGAAAGCACTGGACAAGGTAAAGAGTGGGGGTCGGTAGCCTGGGAAAAGCTGCCAATTGCTGATGTAACTACTTATATCCTGCTAACGGGATGACACCAACCTAGATGACAAAGTAGGTCTGGGCAGTGTTTAATTTGAGGAATAAAAGATGTTTAGAGTGGAAGCTTCATTTTATCTGACTCCAGATACTAAAGGGCTGTCGAGTGGAAGGCGGAACAATTAGAGTTGTTCTACTTTCCCCCAAAGAACAGGGAAGGGAGAGAGAGAAGGTTGCAAAGGAACAGATTTAGGGTGAGCATATTGAAAAACATCTCCTAATAGAGCTGTCCAAAGATGAAATGTACTGCCTGGAGAGATAGTGAACTCCCCACTACTGAAGGTCTCCAAATGGAGTCTGAACAATGGCTGGCTTGGAAGACTGTGAAGGGGGATTCATGGCTTTAGTTCATTTCAGTTTAGTTGAACTAGATGGCCTCTGATGTCTTTCTCAGTTCTGAATCCTTGATTGAGATCAGTGGCAATTAGCTCCCTTACCTGGACTCAATACCTAAAGTCGACTCACAGCTCCTATGGTGACTCATGCCATAAAGACTTTCAGTAGAAGCAACATATAAGATGTAGGGAGAGGGCAGTGACAAGAAAGAAGCTGAAATGCTGGGGGGAAGAAAAGATATTCTGTGGCCTCTTAACAGGCCAAGTGGATCCTAGTGGTTCCCTCTTCAGTCTGAGATAGAGGAAGACATTCCCAACTATATCTCTTCCCTTAGAGTGGTTAACTGTGGCTTTCCAGCCATGCTGTAAGGTCAATCTGGATGGCCCAGAGCCAGACCATGGTAGGGGATGGGACAAACAGAGAAATGTTAATCATTTGGGGATAAATTGAGCTGGCCCAAGGAGGGTTTTTTGCCACAGTAAATGAGCTCACTTCTCTCTCCTAGTTTCTCTTAACCACAATGTGTCCTCAGATTTCACGAGTTCTGCATCCGTGGATGGTGTATCGTGGGAAAGAAGCAGACGTGTCCTTACTGCAAAGAGAAGGTGGATCTCAAGCGGATGTTCAGTAACCCGTATCCTTTTGGGCCTATTCTGGATCAATGGATTCCCTCCCAAGGACGCCTTCTGGAAGGCTGGGCAACAAAGGAATGGGATGAGCTTAGAAGGAGCACTATGATGGAATGTCCTGGTCTGAAGTCAAAATAAGTTTCTCTCCAGCATTCTTTGGCTTCTTGCTAGTGAAAGCAGAGCACGGCCCCCACACTGGTCCTCAGAATTACTTTCTTCAGTCTTCTCCCTCCCTGCATCTGTCCCCTTTTCCTTTCTGAACCTCTTACCCAGACTTCTTACTGAAGCTTCCCCCCAGCCTTTAGCATTGTTGACTCTTAATTCCCAGTGACATCTTTTCAGGAATGGATCTATCAGGTATGCCGTTTGAGAGAGTCTCAGCCCCTCAGGCTGTGTTGCCTCTTAAGATCAAACCTGTGGTGGGGAGGAGATGCTACTCAGAGGCCTTGTTAAGGTCACTATAGCAACATGACCCTCTCTTGGTGTCTATGCACTTGCTCCCCAGGAACTTGGGCATTAAAGCCTTGGGACCAGAGCCCTTTCACCTCTTCCCAAACTCCTCTCTCCAGACTCCTCACCAGTGGCAACACATTCTTAGGCCAGTTTATTGAGACTATCAACATTCCTTCACTGTAGGCATAGAGATACACAGCTCAGCCCTGAAGGGACCTCTTAGGATGTCTCCCTTCAGTCCCTTCCCAGCTAAGAGCTAGCTCTGCCTGGTTTTCCTTCATAGTCCTTCATTGTCTCTAATTTCATCCCTTTTTAGCTTCTTGTCACTGAAGGATAGTAGCAGTCATGCCAGCTGGCAGTGCATTTGCATTTTACCCTTTCCAAAGCCCCCTCATATGATCTCATTTGAACCTCACAACAACCTCGTAAAATAGAGCAGGGATTATTTTATAGATGAGGAAATTGAGGCAGCATCAGGTGAAGTGACTTGCCTAGAGACTCAGCTAGTAAAGAGCAGAGCCAAGATTTGGGCTCTGAAGTCCAGTGCTTTTTCCATTACATCACAGCAGGGGACAAGCCTGTTTCGTTGTCTCCTTTAACCACACTCTACAGTGCTCCATTACTCTGATTTCTCTCTGTAGCTGCTATCAGTAACCCCATACATACCCATCACTTCTCTTTCCATAGCATTGTAAGGTTTACAAAACACTTGAGTCCCTGTGAAGGTGGGTATGTAGTGTAAGTGTCAGTATTTTACAGATGAGTAAATGGATTTACAAAGGTGATTTGCCCGTGATCATATAGAAAGAATTGTAGCCGGTATTTGAACTGAGGTCTTCTGATGGCAGGAAATTCCATGCTCTCTTCATTACACGATGCTGCCTTTTACTTAGATACATGGCGAAGTAGAGTTTTCAAAGTGCTTTTCAATGTATTGCCTCAGTAGGATGAGAAAGGAATATAGAGGTTTGGTAGCATCCTCTTCCCAAAGCAGTCCTTCTTTGTAAAATGTAAAAGTGCTATAAAAATGGAGCCATATTGATTATTGGCCTCCCTGCCAGCCTCTGATGGGACACCCAGCCCCTGCCTAGCAAGGCTAGGCCTATTTGAGGATAGCTAATTGTTATTAATAGCAATCTTTCTAGCTTATTTTTCTAGCACTTTAAGATTTACAAAGTGCTTTACAGATGTTTTGTCATTTGAACCTCATAATAACCCTGTGAGGGAGATACTACAGATATTGTTGTTCCTACCTTTTAAGTGAGGAAACAGGCTCAGAAAAATTCATTGGCTTGCCTGTGGTCGCACAGTAAGTCCCAGGATTTGAACCCAAGTTTTCCTTCCTCCAAGTCCACCACTTTACCTATTTTGATAATTCTAGGTATTGAGCTGAACTCTCTTTTGGTAACACTCCCCAGTTCCCTCCAATTGCTCTTAATTCTGTTGTCTGGAGCTGTCAAGGACATGTCTATTCCCTATTTCATATGACTCAAGTATTCAAAGAGATAGATCACTTCAGTTTTCATTTCTCTAATGGCCCAGTTTCCCATCCCCCAGCTCAAACTCTTCTGCTTTCACCAGCTGCCAGGATTGTTGACTCCAAAGGACTTTTCATCCCCCTTAGCTTCCTAAGTCTTCATTTGGGTAGACCCCTTCAGTTAACTCAGCCTAGTCAAGATGAGGAATTTTCAAAAGGAACTTTACTGGAGAAAGTACTTTGTAAACCTCTGAATCACTATGCAAATGAGGTGTTAAAGAAGTGGGAAATATAGAAGCTACAATCAAGTTTCATATGTGTAATCTGTCTGTCTTCAAAGTAACTACAGTCTAGCCATGTATGGGTTTGGCTGACGTGTTTTCAGAGGGAAATGGACTAGAAAGCCCATTCCTATTCCTTGTCTCAGCCCTAACAAGGTTTTATAACAGTGATTCAACTCCTTCACCTGTCGACCTAGGCTAGCTCCAAGACTAGTTAACTAGCCCCCTATTCTAGCCATGACTGACCAGAGAGCACCCTAAAGAGCTGCATAGAATAGAATGTTTCTTCACAACAGCCTTGTGAAGTAGGCAGTGCAAATATTACTACTTTCATTTTGCAAAGGAAGAAAGTAAACATCTAAATGTCTAGTCCACCATCACGCATCTAGGGCATGAACTTGTATTTTTTTCTGTGTTTTTTATTCCAAAAACAAATCACTTCATTTCCTTTCGCAAAACCTGTACCCCTGGTGGAGCTTTCCAGATGAGTTCTTATTTATTATTCAAAAGTCTCCCCTAATTTTCGCTTCACTGACAGAACTGGTCTTGAGCCTATGAATAATCACAGTATAGGTTACCATTCTATCCACTTGCCAGATAATTCTTCCTTTAGTTCCCTGGGAAGTGGTCATTGCCAGGACCCTACTACAGGTTTAAACTAGCGAAACACACACATGCTTTCAACAATAAGAAGAGATCTGTTCTTTACAGACACTAGCCCCTCTCCCTCCTACCCAAAAAAAAAAACCCCCGAAGTGTCACTTTTTTCGGAGTAAACTTCCCCAGTTCCTTCAGTTGATTCTGATTTGGTGTTTTCCGGGTCCCTCTCCATCCTTGCCACTCCTCTCAGAATGTGTTCCAATTGGTCATTGCCATTCCTAAAATATGGTACTGGGAGGTGTAAATAATATTCAAGATGTCTGACCGGAATAGAGGGCAAGAGGTGCTCTGACTGTCTTCAACCTGTATATAATGCTTCTATTCATGCAGCATTAGCATTTTTTGGTTGTCATGTCATTCTTTTATCTATATTGACCACTAAAACCTCCTCGTTTGTTGGGTTTTTTTCCCCCCACATGCATGGTCTTCTAGCTGCCTTCCCTATTCTGTGTCTGTACCACTTGTTGGTAATGTTAATGAAGGGCTTCTTCCTCAGGCATGACTTGAATTAGATGTTCTCTTAGATGTTGGATGTTCTACCAGCTCTGACATTATGTCCATGCTGTCTTCACTGTTGGTATCTCTAATTTCTTACAGGCAATCACATCAGACCCTTACGATTATAACACAAAGAAGAGATATTACAGCCTTCTTACTCAAAAGCTAGATATTTTAGCAGCTCCCCCCTATTTTCCTCTGAAAATGAAGGAATTTTTCCTTATATAGCTTTAGCCTCAGGCCCTCATGCTGTAGTTAAAGTCAGTATGTTTAAGGAGCACAACTGCCTTGTGTTCCTTTGTAGGCTTGAAGACCACAACCTTCCTCTCCACATTCCCACCTCTAGATTTTTTTCTTCAAGTTAAACTAAACCAATTCCTTTTCCCATCAGCTTTATTTTCCTGTCATTCAGTCATACTCATGCATCACTCTCCAGCTTCTCCATAGCCATGTCTAATTGTAGGACTCCAGATAGACTGAGACCTCTTAAGTGAGAGTCTGATCATGGCTCCTCGTCTTTGGTCATGCAGCATCTGGGATGATGGCCTTTCCCTATTCATCCATACCCGGGGAGCCAGGAGGTGTGGTTCTTTTTGCCTGGCCAGCTGGAGAATACTTATGCACCTGGGGAAGAAACAGCAGCTTTGCAACTAACCCTGGCTGGCAGGCCAGGAAAGAGAAAAGGGGGGGGGGGCTTAATCCAAAGCTAGAAGGTACCTAGAAGTCATCTAGTGCAGCCCCCTCAATTTGTAGAGGAGAAAATAGAAGCCTGAAGAGGGTGAGTGTCTTGTCCAGGGTAGTGTCCAAGCAGAGCTAGGATTTGAATTCAAATTCTCTGATCCAAGGAAAGTGGAAAGCATTTGCTTTCCCTGATAATCAGCAACTTGGGAATTACTCTTCAAATCTTTAAAATTCGGTCTTGGCACCTTCTTCCCATTCATCCTTCTGTCTGCCTTAGCCCAGCATTTCCGAGATGGTTGTTTTGTCCTTATCTGCTGTCCTCCTGTCTCCTTCACCTCTTCTTCATTGCTCTTTTCTCCCCTTTACCTCCTTCCCTTTTTTTTCTCCCTCATTCCTCTCTTCTTCCTCTTTCCCTGCCCTCCCTTCTTCCGTTTCTCTTTATCGCTTCTGTATTGTGTGTCCGTCCCCATCTTTTTGCCCATATTGATGTAAGACCCTGCTAGAGCCAGGGATGGGGAGTTGGGGGTGGAGGAATGGTGATGGGCAGCCATTAAGTGGTTTCAGTTCCTCTCTCTCACTCAGCTTCTGTTGGGCATCAGAAGCTCTCTCAGTGGAAGTTGTCTTATTATGGGGTTGTCAGGGAAGTTAGGAGGCCTAGTCTAGGCATGTCACTGACCAGGGAGGATCAAGTCATGAATCAGAAAGTCCCCTGCGGTCCTGACAGATCACTTGTTTGACCCACTAACAAACCTTCTGTTTGTTCTTTAACCTGTGTGCACTGAAGATGGGAGCGGCCTCACGTCATGTATGGACAGCTGCTCGACTGGCTCCGCTACCTCGTGGCCTGGCAGCCGGTCATCATCGGGCTGGTGCAGGGAATCAACTATACCCTGGGTCTGGAGTAACTCCATGGAGCAGAAGGGAAGCCGAGGCGCAGGGGTCTGTGGCCAGCAGCCCGAGGTCCAAGGCCCTGGGCCAAACCAGCCCCCTCCCCTCAGCACAGCTGGCAAAGACTTCGTCATCCTCTACAACCACTTCCGAACACTCGCTCCCTCAGCTCCAAGGACGACTCTTGTTTCTGGGGGTGTGGCAGTGAACCAGCCCATGAGGGCTCCTGGACAGGGAGGTTCTTTTTAAAAGAAAATTATTTTAATGACTATATTTAAAAACCTTTTTTATTGCAAGAATGTGAGGCAGTGACAACCACCCTCCCTTCCCCTCTCCCCACTTCTCTTACCCTTCCTCATCCCTGTCTGCTGGCTTGAGAGCCCAAAACTGAAATGGGAAACGTGTGGCAGAAACCTGAAAGAATCATCATTCCATCTCCCCTTTGGAGCGCTTTGTAACTCCCAAAAGAGGGTCTCCCCAGCTCTGGAAAGAGCCATAGCCCTGCATGATATGCAGAGTTGGAGGGTTTCCCTAACAGCTACTATACCTGGAAATCTGGGCCTACATAAGGAAGTGTGTCCAAATCCCCCTCTGTGGCTAAGCAGTGTTGTCAGTCAGGATTTCTGGGTATTAGCATTCCAAAGAGCCAGCCAGACCATGAGGTATCTCTGCTTAATGCTTCTTTGCAGAGGCTAGGGCTGCAGAGATGAAAGGACCTACGTCTGCCAGAGCACGAGGCCACATTGCCTTTTATATACTTAGCCACAGGATCCCATCTCCTCTTAAGGTGGTCACATACCCAGAGATGACAGTTGTGCACCTGGGTAATGCTGGCTCTTCTGAGGTGCTCAGTTGGCCAGTGATATCTCCTTGGGTGCCTTCCCTTCTGGCCTTCAGCAGCCTCCATCGAGTTGGGTGGGGCCCTCTTCCAGGGTAAATGACCACTGCTTTGGACATAGTTTTCCAAATCTGTGAACCATCCTTTCCCCCTGGATCCTGTCCTGGCCCACCAGACATACCCACATGTATGCATCCACATCCACCCTACCTCCTCATCCCCACTTCTTGATGTTTTCAAAATTGGAAACCCAAGACTGTTTTAGTGGTTTGGAGATCTCAGTTGAAAATAGTTGCATTCAGTGGTCCTTCTATAGGCCTGGGGAGCAGCATGGAGAGGGCTGAGCCTGCCCCTCAGGAAGAGCTATCATGACCTGACCATGTGAAGTTACTCCTTCCTTTGGGAGTTCCTCATTATGGCCAGGTTTTTTGAGGGTGGGGTGGTGGTCTTTTTATGTTAATCATCTGGCTATGTAAGCACCCTGAAAGAACCATCACTGTCCCTAAGTGGCTGGAGAGTTGTCCCCCACAGCTTTGTGGGAACCAGAGAAACCAAGGCGTTCGGGAACTGGAGAGAAAGTCCACACTGGGTCTTGATTTGGGCCAGGGCAGGAAAGTCTGAAAGCGTGTGTGATGAAGCAGGTTTTCAAAGTGAAATTAGAAGTGACTGATGTGCCAAAGGTCAGAAGGAAATTAGGATCTTGGAGCCAAAGCCAAATCATATCCTTCCCCTAGTAATGACTTTCCTAGATTCTTGGATCTGTGCTTATGTTGCTGAGAATAGGCCAACCCAGGGAGGGAATCCCCGACGCAAGGGCTGGGTACGTTTGCTGCTTGGCCTGGCTCTTTACTGGGCCAGTAACGAGGGCTGTGAGGGGAGAGGGAAGTTACTTTCATGGGCTCACAGACTAGAAAGCTGGCCAGTCATCAGCTGTGCATATCTGGATTATCATCAGCATCCCTGAGCAGCCTAAGATTTGGGGGTAGAACCCTCAATAGGAAAAGCGAGCTTGAGCCCCACAAGGCTAGAAAGACTGGGGTGACAGCTTTTAGACAGTGCCCACACCATGCTTCTTGAGGTCAGGAGTCATTGGTCCAGTTTAGGAGGAGCATTGAACCAGAGATAAGAGAAAGGAGAGGACAGAGGATGGCCCCTTAAACTGGGGACATCACCCCCCCCAATTGAAGAATCTCCTGGCCTTAAGGAATCCCTAAAGATGCCAGAACTCTTCTTTCTCCTTTCCCACATTCAGTTCTCAGGCTAGCTGAGGCTGCCACTAGTTTTAGGGAGGAAAGAAGAAGGAGCACCACATGTCTGCCTGGGCTTCTGCACTAGAGGCCACATCCCAGGCTGGACACCCCCCTCCCCCCCCCAGGGAGGGAGGGCTGTTATTAATAGGTTTTTCTTGTTACTGTTGTTGCAGTTGTTGTCGGGGTAGGGGGTGGGAATCATGGGAGGGCAGAAGCCAGACTGGGAAGTGGGGAGCCCTCAGCTTTTGGGGTCAACTCCAGGGCCTGGAGCCTGTCCCCTAGGGAGGTGGTGGGCCCACGCTTTCTCACAACTCCAGTTTTAATAAAACCCAGTGAGCTGAGAGAAATTCCTGAGTTCCTTTTCCTTGGCTTCTCCCATCCCCTCAATTCCAGGAAGAAAGACTGAACCTCGCTGGCACAATGCCACCGCGTTCAGAATCTTCTGCCTGCTTCCATACCAATGAGGCACGGGTTCATTTGTTCAGGGCTTACAAGATACTGACCAAACACAGAATCGCTGTAACCAGAGGAAGAGGTGCAGTCCAGGGCTGTTTTCCCTGGAGACAGGGCCAACCATCAATCTCTGCACCAGCCTGTTCCTGCCCACCTAGGGCTCTCCCTAAACCTCTATGCTTCAGGCCAAACAAGTCACAGCCTCACTGGGTCTCAGTTTGTTCATCTATAAAATGAGGGCTTGGGACTAGATCTTTGAGTCTGTGATCGATATGTATTATTCAAGTGATGATTCTGCCAAAGTTGCCACCCGAACACCTAGCTAGCTATCCCTTCCTGTGGTTACTCATGTCCTCCCAGTCATTGTTCCTGGAGTACGCTGAGCTAGTCTTCACTCCCCCAAGGACCAGATTTCTGTTGCTGCCCCCAGCTTACCCCCTGCCTATGACTACAGTCATATTGGGGCTAGGGGATTCGCTATGTAGTACAACCTTTATTTACAGAACCATCTTCTAACTTCATCAGAGATAATGGGAAGAGCTTATTCAGTGTCAAAACCATTGATGGAGGCTCTGGGCCCTGCCAGTATGATGGGGAAGCTCCTGATAGGTTTTGCAATGGAAAACTCAGAATGATGTCCAAGCAATTGGAAGCAAAACAAAGACAGGTTGGTAAATATACATGGAGTGGGAGGAAGCCATGGAAGGTTTATTGGAAGAGGGAACATGGGAACTGACCCTCAAATGATGAGTAGGTGCTGGGTGGGAAAGAGAATGAAGGACATTCCAGGTTGCAGAGTGGAGGTGAAGGGGAGGAAGCAAAGATGGAGAAGTGGAACTTGACTGTGGTGCCTGAGAAGATACTGACCTGAGGAAGATGTGATAATAAGCCCAAAAAGGGAGACTGAAACCAGACGGTAGAGGTTTTTGATCCTGGCTGTCTGAACTTTACCAAAATTGGCATGAGATTTCTTATATGCTTGAGTTCCATTTCCTCATCTACTCAGAGTTCCCCAGGACACCTGATCCAACCAGGCACAAAGGGTGCTGGGGCTGTTTCTGGGTACTGGAAGTTTGGAGGAAAAAGGGATACATTACTGCCCTTGAGAGACTTAAAATATATTTAGGAAAACACAATTCAAGATGGGTTGGCGTTATGTGGGACCCAGAATTGCTGGGATTACGGTAGAAGGACATCTAAGGCCTCTCCACACCAGCTGGTGGAGCTGGCCAGACGAGTGTGATGGGAGAACCTCTTCAATCCCTACCTCAGCCCTCTTTACCCCACGTCCATCTTCCCATCACCACAGTTGTGACAAGATTGGCAAAGGAATTGAGGTTAAGAACCAGAAACATGGAGAGGGCAACAGGAGTGATCTTTTATGCCTGATGGTTACTGGGCAGGTGGACATGAGGTATGAGGCAGCATCAGGAAGCTCCCAGACCCAAGAGGGAAGCAGAACAGTGGGGAGAGAGTCACACCTTCAATGTGTGATAAGGCAGCAGCAGAGCCCACCTAGTCAGCAAGAGAAGCCCTCTCGGAGGGCAAGACAGACATCCCCACAGGAGACGCTGGATATGACTGTGGAAACTATTGCTGAATAAGGCCGCCAAGCGATAAAAATGTTCCCTCTTTGCACTGCAGTGGGAGTCTCTGGCCATCCCCCTGAATCAGTATTCCAGGGCTGACGTCCATCTGGCCAGTGCTCAAGGCTTTCGTATCTGAGAGGAAGCCTCCAGTCACTGGCTGACCCCCTGACGTGACTGGACACCCCAGCTGGAAGACACTGGACTCACGCTCACCCTCAGACTTGGCTGGACTATACAGGCACCCCCTTGGGTAGCATTTTATGTGGGTGTGTTTTGGGGAGTTGGAAGGGAGTCTGAGAGTAAAGATGTGTCGTGTATTTGTGAAACTAAGTCTGACTACGGAGATCATTGTGTGTCTTGGATGGCTTCCCTGTCTCTTGGTCAAAGTGAAAGTGAATGGGAGGAGCTTGAGGTGAGGTTTCTAAATATTTTTAGGGTTCTGAGTTTGTACTCATTTCCCGTTGTTGAAGAGGCTGGGGGTACGGGGGCAGAGGCAGAACTTTGGAGGACTCTAAGTCACAGTCCTAGTACCTGAGCCTCCTCTCTCAACCTTTCCCTGGCCCTCACTCCATCCCTGAGAAATTCCTCCAGTCCTTCATTCCCCACCCCAATCCTAAACCCAGTGAAGATACAAAATACCCTAACCCTCCCCAACAAGCAGAGGATAAAGCCAAAGAGAATCAATGTGGAACTGAGTGGACTCGGGAGAGAATTGTGCTTTACACCTGGAGGACAAGGTAAAGAAGCTGAGGGAGTTTGGTGCCTGAGCTAGGGTCATAGAACGTAGGCTGGAGAGCTGCAAAGGATGCTAGAGACCATCTACAGGAAAGGCAGCATTTCTGGAATGGTCAGTTTGTTGTCAGCTAGGAGAATCCGGAGATAAAAGTGTGGAATTGTAAGTCAGAAAAATCCAAGTTTGTCTGCTGCCTCAGACTTTACTTGTATGACACTGAGCAAGTCACTTAGATCTCTGTGCCTTTTTTTCTTATCCATAAAATAGGGCTGAAAATCCCACTGGCCAGGTTTATTGTGAAGCTGAATTGACGGCCGCACCTACTATGTGCCGGGCACTGTGCTAAGCACTTGACAAATATCTCATGTGATCCGCACAACAACCGTGCTTTGAGGTAGATCGCATTAAACTTAGGCCAACGGAGGTTAAGAGAGTTACTCGAGGTGACACAGCTGGGAAGTATCGGGGTCACATTTGAACTCAGGTCTTCCTGACTCCAGGCCTAGCTCTCTATCTTCTGAGTCACCTAGCTGTAAAGCGCATATATACAACATAAATGCTAGTCGTTATTATTAGCTGATGACGGAAGCAGTAATATGAAATATGAAATTTTCAGAAATGTGAAAAAAATGGAAGTGACATTTGAGGAGAGGAAGCCAACCCCCTCATTTGACATCATTTCATGGGATGCTTGGTCACCTCGGATTGCAGCACCCGTGAAGAGCTGGGGTGAACAAACCACCGTGAAGATCGCTGCAGCTTTTGCATTGAACCCTGTGGTGGAACAAGATTCAGAGAATCCCTCCCCCACTCCCCGAAGAGCCTGGCAGGCTCCACCAAGATACCATATCCCTTGCTCCTCAGTGACTTCTACATGAAGGTGGGATCAGGGAGGACAAAAAGCTGGAAATGTGGTCATGAGTAAGGCGTGCGTGAAGTGAGATGCGTGTGGACTGATTACTCAGAGGCCTGCCTGTGCGACTCGAAGACTGTCAGGAGGTGCGAGGTGAGCAGTGAAACAGCATCCCCCCAAAACGAAAGTGGCTTGCATTAGAAAGGAAATTACTCATTACTGACGTGGGAGGCATTTCTGAATAATGTGCAGTCAAATCTTTTGCTAAAGCAAAGGTCAAAATTAGTACTGAGCTAGATGAGAAGACGGCTGGGGGTAATTACAGCTCCAACCCAGCCTATTTAAACAAACCCTTGACTCTGGAAAAGTGGGAAATGGACACTGATCCTGATTGTCGCTGTTTCTTGAGAAGTTCAGAGGAGGTTAAAAAAAAAGTCACCATAAAGAGTCCAGAAATCCCCGTGGTTATAGGATTAGAATAGAATTAGAGCTAGAGGGTCATTTAGTCCAACCCTTTTATCGTACAGAGGGGGAAACTGAGGCCCAGAGAGGATAAGTGATTTGCCCAAGGCCACATGCTAGTATATGCATTGGATTCCTTTACAAACAAGGAGATACAGCAGCCTTGGGCTTCATGTATTTAGAGTACAAGCTCATTTGCAAAGCATTATGAAAAAAAATGGCAGGATGTTCTAAGTCTTTGATCGACCTCATAAACATGCAAACAGCATTAGAGAAGCAAACTAGTCAGAGAAAACTTAGCCACAAGACTCGGCTAAGTCTCAAGAAGCTTTTATAAACAAAACGGGAACGAAAACAGCAAACAGCTGCAAAATAAAACAGATTTGACCACCTTTTTTTGGGGGGGGGGACGAGGCGATCAGAGTTAAGTCACTTGACCAGGGTCACACAGCTAGTGACTAGCCTGTGTCTGAGATTGGATTTGAACTCAACTCCTCCTAACCCCAGGGCCAGTGCTCTATCCGCTGCACCATCTGACTGCCCCTTGACCACATTTCTCAAATCAGGTCTCATCAGTGATGACAAGACAATCTCTACATGCGGACTTCTAACAGCTCTGTGGCTGAGATGCTAAATGAGGAAATGGAGGAGGCATTGGAGCAGAGGAAGGAGGGAAAAGCAGCCCCACCTAATCAAGTACACCTAGAAGAAGTCCATGCAGTTGTGATGGCTCTCAAGTGATGGATTTTACTGCGAGTGAAATAGTAAAAGATTCCAAAAGAATGGAAAAGATTACAGAAGCTATAATTATCAACCAAGAGGAAAAAAAGGGAAACTGGAAAGGCTGCAACCGCTAAACTTCATAATCTCTTTACGAAGGCGTGATCAGTTTGTTAAATTATAATATGCATTTGGACAGACAACCCACTTGAACTAATCATTTAGTATGCGTATCTTGTTTAGATCTTACACATAGCTAATGAAATGGGCTTGCATTTGAATAGGATGAAAAAAGTGGACTGGCTTGAATTTGGGATGTTGTATAATGCTCGCAGTGATTCCTATTGTATTTGTTCCCCGATGCAAAACTTCATTTTTTTTCAAAGTGCCCTATGGCCTCGGGGTTCCAAATGACTTCTACTCTGGACTTATATGGAATCCAGATTCCTCTTGGAGACAGCCTAACTCCAAAGAGAAGGGATCAGGTTTCTCTCACTCTCTGACTCATTATTCCCCCACTCTGGAGGAAGTATGGAAAAAATCTAAAATGAAGCTTAGGTATGGCTCTTACCTATGTAACACCTCCTTTCCCTTTTTCTCCCAAGTTGCACTTGTATTTAAGGGTCAGGCACCCAGAGGGTGGCTGCTACCTCCTGTTGCTAGAACAATCTGTGGTCCAGACCTCCCAAAATTATATAATTCATGAGCCTTGACTTCCCCTCCCCAACAAATCACATTCATTTTAACAGCCAATAGATACAATTAACTCAAAAGTAATGACATTTCCTAAAATGGCATAGTAAGAATAATAGCTACAAAACATTCTCTCCATAAACCTGGGGATTTACTCTCCCACAAACACATGCATCCATCCATCCATCCCTCCATCTATAGGAAGAGTGAGCTCAGACTTAGTGACCCCCATGTAGGGAGCACATGCAACCAACATGTCTCTGGTCCTGGAGGACTTCCATATAGACTTTCTCTTCTTGTGGAATCCTCCTCCTCCCTTCCTCTGGCCACAGAGTTTCTGCTAGGCAGGTCAACGAGCTGTGCTCCCAGGAGCTGCTCCCTGATGAAGCTCAATTCCCAATTGCTAGGGCTGTTACTCTCTAGAACCCATAGATAGATCTTCTTTACTGTGAGAGGACCCGCTCTGTGAAGCCGCTTCCTGCCTCGGGTGACTAAACTGGTCTCCCTCTCTGTGGGTCCTGTGTGTCTTTCCGAGAGCGGGGAGGTCTGTGCTCCCCGAAGGAGGCTTTATCTCCTACTCAGGGAGTAGCTCTCCCGCCATGGCCAAAGAGCATGAGAATAGAGATCATACCCCCTTCTCTCATGGGGCCCTCTCTTAGCTTCATTGACTTCAGAGCTTAGCAGGCAAGCTTTTTAAAGGTGACTGAGGAAGTGGTCATTTTCCCGCCAGCCAACAAAGTAAACTGCTTCTCTAATTCCATCAGGGAGAGAGCTTCATACTTCCTAAAGAGGTAGCAGAGTTGTCTTCCCCATTAGACTGTGAGCTCCTGAGGGCAGGGACTGTCTTTTGCCTCTTTTTGTACCTTTGGTGCTTAGCACAGTGGCTGCCACATAGTAGGTGCTAAATAAATGTTTATCAATTGATTGAGAGTGTCGACGCCTTGTTGAACACTAACCATCATCTCTGTTGCTCTTTGCTTACTTTTGTTGTTTAGTCATTTTTTTAAGCATGTCTGACTCTTCATGAACCCGCTTGGGATTTTTTTGGGCAAAGATACTAGAGTGATCGTTTGCCATTACCTTCTCTAGCTCATTTTACAGGTGAGGAACAGAGGCAAATAGGGTTAAGTGACTTGCCCAGGGTCACACAGCTAGTAAGCGTCTGAGGCTGGATTCGAACTCAAGTCTTCCAGGCTCAGCACTCCATCCACTGCACCACTTAGCTGCTTCTAGTTGTCCAACTGTGTCAACTCTTCATGACCCTATTTGGGGTTTTCTGGGCAAAAATACTGAAGTGGTTTGCTATTTCCTTCTCCAGTTCATTTTACAGATAAATAACTGAGGCAAAGAGTGACTTGCCCAGGGTCACACAGCTAGTAAGTGTCTGGGAACTGATTTGAACTCAAGAAGTCTTTCTGACTTCAGTCCTGGCACTCTATCCACTGCACCACCTCTAGCTGCCATATTGCTTCATGTACCATCTCACTTGTCTGTGTTTATATCCTGGGGTGGAGAAAATTAGTTGGTCAAGGACTAATTCCTTCCATTTCATCTGGAGTCTCCCACAAAGAAATTAATAGGATCCCTTCTAGAAAAACGAGGTATTAGTTATAACAGCTATTTATTTCCTCTACCACAAAAGAAATGTTTAAAGTAAACTCATAAGCATACATTGACAAATCTCTCAGATTTGAAACAATAACCCATTACCATCATTATTTTGTTTTGGTCCCACCACCAATGAAGAAGGGCAGCTGCTCTGCAATGCATCATTTTTGTCACCTGGGGCATGAAGAAGTTAACTGACTTTTCCAGGATCACCCAACCAGTAAGTGTCAGAGGCAGCACTGGAAACCAGGGCTTGAAACTTACTCCTAGGCAAGCTTTCTATCTACTCTGCCATGCTGCCTCTCCACTATCATTATCATCACCTCAAAAGGTAAAGGTGCTTTTGTGGGGCTGCTGAACACATTTCGCTTTACCCCAGACCTGTACTAGCTGAATAATTTACGAGGTCCAGGTGTCCTGTCCGGTTGGAAATGGCTCTCCTGCACAGATCGGATGCTCCTGTAGGTAGGTGGCCATCTCCAAGAAGCATAGCTGCAGGAATCACCTTGCATTAGGATAGTTGCTACCAATAAGAACCCAGGAACACTCAACCTCATGAAGTAGCCTCTGTAGCTAGAAAGGTCCATTTCATAGGATCACCAGGGAAGAAACAGGCAGAATCAAGGACTTGGCAAGTAAAAATCCTCACTGCCATGAGCTCAAGGTGTGGCCCATATTGCTACTGGGGAGGAGGAAGGGAAATAAGAAAATAAATCCCTCCCCTCCCTCAGTGAAAGTCCAAGGGAGAGTTGGCAGAGTTCCCCCCAAAAAGGAAAAAAAAAGCCTGCTTAAAGAGGGGTAAAGCCTTTCTCCTCAATTCTTCTCTAGGTTATGAAATGGACAGGCTCTTCCTGACTCATGCATCTATTGTCTTCACACAACCCCAATCGTGGAGACTGAGGAGCCACTCAGGAGTTGCTGAGTTATACATGTCAAAGGGGCCAGAGCACATGCCTAGCTCTGTGGGAAGTACTCTAAATACCAATCTTGTGATGCTGTGTGTCTGGGAATCATGGAACACCAAGATCTTTAAAGAATCACATTTGAAAATGATCCAAAAAGCAATGGAGAAATACTCTTGGATGAAAATGGGCTGTAGTATGTTTATTACCAATGCTTTAAAAAGGGAGAATTTTCTCTAGTGATTGAAGAGTTAATGGACTATCATTGATCACAGTAATATCAGGAAATGCCCTAGTGGGACACGAAGTCCCTGAACTTCTAGGTTTCCTAATTGTGGCTTACAAACACACTCAAATCTCTTCCTTCTATTCACTTCTCTTTCCCAAATCTCACTGATCCTCCAATGCAGATCTCCGAGTCCTCCAAGAAGTCTTTCCAACCCACCCACTAAGGATGTCTCACTTTTCAGAACTCCTCTGGTCCTCATAGTCTCTTCCCACTCATGTGGCTCATAAACTATCTTGTGACATCTCTCTTTTACTGTCATTAAACTCATTGAAGGAAGTCCCATCTCACCAACTAGATTATGAGAGTTTTGGTTGTCATGAAGAGATTAGCTATGTTCTGGTTAGCCACAGGGGCAAAACTAGTAATAATTATTGGAAAGTTGCAAAGAAATTTTGGTTAAATATAATGAGAAAATTTCTGGAAAATTACAACAGTCTCAAAGTAGAATGGATGACCTCAGTGAGTAGTAAGTTTCCCATTGCTAGAGCTATTCAGGGGGAGGACAGATAACCACTAGTTAGGGATGTTGTAGAGGAAATTATTCCCAGTAAGAGTGGGCTGAGATGGTCCCTGAGGCTTCTTCCAGCTCTTCTGATTCTGTGATTTTGGAGAAGTGGTACCTGAGCACACAATCAATTAACAGACATGTATTAAATTCTTATTAAGTAATAAGCATTGCTAAACTCTGAGGGTACAAAGAAAGGCAGATACATAGTCCCTGCCCTCAAGGCACTCACAGTCTACATGAAACATGAAATCAACTGCATATATAGCAATCCAGATCAATACAGCATAGAGTGTCAGAGGGAAGAAATTGGGGCAGGGGTGATGACTTGGGGAGGGGAGAATAGGGGAATGGGAAACATCTCCTGGAGAAAATGGGAGACCAGTGAAGAGGAAGATCATTCCAGGCTGGAATGTGAAAAGGCATGAAATCAAGAGACGTCCCTAGAGTCACGTGCTACAAGGGCTCATAAAAGTTTGAGAAGGGGAGTAAAATATAAGAAGACTGGAAAGGTAAGAAAAGTATCACACTTACAGGCTTGAGTCAGGAAAACAGATCATAGTATTATGAATTTAGAATTGAAAGAAACCTTAGAAATCATCTGGCCCAGCCTCCTCATCTTACAGGTGAGGAAACTGAGTCCTAGAGAGATGAAGCGACACCCCAGGACACATAGCTAGTAAGAGGTGAAGCTAGGATTGAAACCAGTCTTCTGACTCCAAACGCAACACTGCATCACTGCCTCCAGTTGTAGCTTCACTCCCAGTTGACTGTGTGATTCAGCCTTTCGGGTACTTATATGGACCCCATGGACAATGGATGTGAAGATGGTTTATGGTGCTACTGAAACCACACACACACACACACACACACACACACACACACACACACGTTTCGTTTTCATGGGTCACACTGGTGGTCACTGATCTGACGTCTCTGCCCCTCCCAGCCCTCACCACCCAGGGAAGTGGGGATGAGTAGAGGAAATGGAACCGGCGTGGGAGGGAAGTGGAGACAATATAAAGTCCAGCCTTAGCTGGACCAGTAACATACCCAAGGAGAGAGACCAACACCATGAACAGTAGGAAGCCTAGGACAGGAGGTGGGTGAATGAAATCTATGGTGAACAGGAGTCAGTGTAAGAATGTGTGTGTGCGTGTGTGCACGCACGTGCGCTTAGGTCAGGGTTGTCTGTGAAAAGGTGAATGTGATCGTGTGGGAGGGAGGCAGCGGAGATAGGATTGCCTGACAAATCAACATGGGCAAGTGCTGTGATACTTGGGACCCTAGATCTGGCCCTGCTCCTTAGAGTCTGAGAACCTCAGAGGATTCCAAGCCCTTTCGAGCCCCTTTCCTACCTGGTCTGCTCCCTCTCCCCAGTGACAGGATTTGAGAAACACAGCAAGGGACACCTCCCTCCCCCTCCACAGCCCCAATCACCCACTCCACTCCCTTCTCTAGGCCCCGAGGTCCAGTCTGGCTCACTCATCTTCCCAATGCTGCTGACAATGACGCTGGGCTTGGCCCGGGCCCAGGATACAGGTGAGGAGAGAAGAGGGGACTTGGTTAGGAAGAAGGTCTCTCATTCACTAACTGCCTTCTGTGCTTGGGTTATGCTATGGAGTGGATGAAAGCTTCTTCACCCGGAATATGACGGGAGGCAGAACCGCTTGCCCCAGAGTACAGCAATGTGCATACCCACTCTACTATAAGCCACTCTTGCCCACAGTGCTGCTGTGCCCAGAGACGGCCCTGGATGTGATGGTGAAAAGGACAGAGTCTGAGATGTCGAGTAAGGAGGCATGAGAACACTGGGAGGCAGGGGTTGGGGGGAGGTCGGTGGGCAGGGGCTGAAGGTAGGTGGACAAGGGCACCCACCCCTAAGGAGTAATATCCCTTGGCTTAGGAGAAATCATAGGGCTGGAGGAAAAGTTCTAGCTGACATTATTGCGAGCACTACCATTGGGCAAATCATAACCCCCTGAGCCCGAGTTTTCCCATCTATAAATTAGGGCATGGATTATATCAGGGGTGGGGAACCCGTGGCCTCAAGGCCACATGTGGCCCTCTAGGTTCTCAAGTGCAGCCGTTTGACTGAATCTAAACATTTGTTCTGTAAAACTTGGACTCAATCAAAGGGCTGCACTTGAGGACCTAGAGGGCCGCATGTGGCCTCAAGGCTGCAAGTTCGCCACCCTTGGATTTGATGATCTTTAAGGATCTTTTCAGCTGTGATATTTTAAGAACAAGCGTTATTTGATCCATCTTCCTCTTACCCTGAAGCCACCACACACCACCTTCGTTTAGCCACTCATACCTTCACTCATTTACCCAAGTTCTAAGAGTTGTGGGCATGGAAGAGACATGGGTGATGGTGGAGACAAAAGGGAACTTGATAGAGCCAGTATTCATTATTGGGTACCTGGGGCAAATGGATGGGGATGGAAGTAGGTAGAAAACACTTCAGGTCCTGAGACAGAAAGCCCTCTGGGAGATCAAGAGGGAGGAAGCTGGGCAGAGCCAGGCACAGAGCAGCTCACCTGGGATCTGGGATTCTAGCATTGCTTGTTTAGAGGTGGCCATTCTGTGAAGCTCAGGTCAACTAGCAAGCCAATAGTCTAGGCAGCTGCACAGGGTTAAGGGTCGGCTGCTCCAGAGAAACTGGAAGAGGCAGCAACTGGGGTCCTGGCATAGAGCCAGCAGAACACCATTAGAAGTGGTCCCGGACGTGGGAAGAAGTGAGAGTGGAATAAACAGGCTCTCCAAGTGGACTGCCCACCTGCTTCCTGAGAACTTCACCTTGGTTACAGTTTTGCAACTCAGGACTAGCCTTGGAGAATACTCTCAATGAAGGAGATGAGAAAGTTGGATGAGTCAGGGAAGGGACTGGGTAACAAAATAAGCAACAAAGGACATTTACATGGCATTGGAAAGTTTGCAAAATACTTTACCTTCTCATTTTACCTTGAATCCTCACAATTGCCCCATGAGGAGGCATATCACCCCCATTTTGCAGATGAGAAAACTCAGGCCCCAGAAAGCTGAAATGACCTAGGCCATGGTCACACGGCTAGAAGATACCCGAATTAGGATTTAAACCCAGGTCTTGCTGACTCCAAGCCCAATATTCTTTTCCACTGTGGCCCAAAGAGAGGACCTAGCTGGAGGAAGCAATCTGTTGCTTCAGAGTAGGCAGAGGCGGCCAGGATGAAAACTGAAATTAGGTCTGTGTATTTGGAATCAGGCTGCTAGTGACCTCCAGAAAGTGGTTCCAGCAGAGACAGGTAAGAAGCCAACAACTTAAGGAGTGGGAGATGAGAACTAAAAAGCCTTAGGGTCTATCCTCTATTCCAGGTAAGGCCTTTTTCTTCCAGGGGCTTTAGATTCCTTACCTGTGCACAGATGAGGGTGGGGAGGGAAAATGGATGTTTACGCTTGTTGAGGGCACACAGTAGGTGTGTAGTAAGTCTTTTCCAACTGAGACTGAAGTTTGGGAGAAAAGGGGAGGGGCGATGGTTGGCCCTAGCACTGAGAACACTGTCTCACACCTCCTCAGATGGGACGCTGATCCTGTCCTGCAAAGGCTGTAGTCATTTTGCCCACTCCAGCTTCCTGTACTGGCTGGGGAACCATTCCTTCATAGAACATCTTCCAGGCAAACTACGGGAGGACAAGACTCGGTAACTAGGGGAAAGGGTTTGTGAGGGAGGCTAGGAAGAAAGTCTATCCAAGGCCCAGGGTGCTCTGCTCTCTCCCTCACCTACTCACACCCTCCACAGGAGGCAGCAACAGAGTGGAGTAACCTGGCTACAGCGAGACCTTGTATTGGAGGAGCTGAGCCCCACTCTGCAAAGCACCAACTTCTCCTGCGTTCTAGTGGACCCGGCCCAGGTCATTCAGCACCATGTGCTCCTGGCCCAGCTTGGGGTGAGGATAATGGGAGTGGCCAGATGGACCAAGGGAAGGAGTGGAGCAAGCACACTGACCGAGGGTGGATGCTAAGAATAGGAGGGATGGGGTGGGGGGCGTGTGTGTGTGCACGCACGTGTGTGTGCACGCAAGCGCACACGCTGGAGCACACAGGTCAGGGTTGTCTGTGAAAAGGTGAATGTAATTGTGCAGATAAGCCCCTCCTCCCTTCCCTGTTGTCTAGAGGATGACCCAGAGGACAACAGTAGGAAGCACGGACTCACTGCTCCAACCTAGGAAAGTCCAGAGATTCAGTTAACACATCAGAAACAGAAGCCTAGCTAGAGAAAAGGCCTTGCCCAGGTCATCCATCCAGGTGTTCTCTTAGACTCAGAAAGCAAAGAAGGGGCCACTTTTTTAGCACCTGCTAGATATGCCTAGTCCTACGAAGGGCTGGGGGGGGGGGGTTCCCTCAGAAGCACACCCAATCCTAGGCCTTTCCTTCTACTTCCCATCAGGAACCTGACATGAGAACATCCCAAACTCCAAACCTCAGCCACCAGCCGAGGAGTCCCAGTCCAGTCACATCCCTGACTACTTCCAGACCTGGGGAAGAATCCCAGGCAGTCACCCCAATGACATCCAACCGGCCCTGACCAGTCAAAGCAGCAGAGACAGGACAAGAAGCCTTCACAATAAAATGTTAACCCCAGGCGTTGTCTGGTCCTCATCCTTGGGTCCAAGTCATCAGATTCCTCAAAAGGGCCACAGCAGGTGATAGGTGGTCTCTGATCTGTTCCTCAGGCCTCAGCCCGATAGCCCAGCACCCTGAGCTGGCTGACTGGGCGAGGTGGGGAGGGGGTCTGCACACCAACAGAATCATGCAATTTGGAGCTGCTCCTTAAGAGAGCATCTGTTCATTGTGCACATGGGGAAACAGGTGTAGGGAGAAGTGATTTCTCTGAAATCCCACTGACAAAAAAGAATAATCACAGCTGAACCTCAGGAACTCTACTTCAAAATCCAAAAATCTTTCTACTAAACCCTTTAAAACCCAGAGGAAAAGAGCCCTAGAAATCTGAGAAAAGAGGAGCAAGGGAAACCAAGAAGTGGGGAACCAATGCTCAGAAGGGGATGAGCAGGATCTCAGGGACAGGTGGGGGCAACGCCAGGCAAAGAAAGAACCTGCAGGTGCTTTCACAACCCCTTCTCTGAGTGAAGCAGTCTGGCGGCTTCGCCTGCCCTTGGCAAACACCAGCGGGAGAAGCAGGCGTGGGGGCCCCAGCCAGCACAGGGGAAAAGGGACAATGTTGAGAATAAGTAGTTTAAACCTCCCCCCAACCCCAAAGCCAGCCCAGCCCTCAGGGAGAAAAATAAGACTTTATTTACAAGTAATAACATTTAAAAAATTCAAACAGATGACCCCTGACCCTACCCCCCTCCCTTCTACTCCAGGTCCCATTATACCCTCCCTATTCCTTGTCTCTTCAAAATCTTTAAGGAGCAGGGAAGCAGTTAGTACCCAGAGGAAGGAAGTGTCATGATGGGTACCTCTGACTACCCTCTGAACCACAGGAGCAGAGGATGGGAAAGGGGACACAGCCATCCAGTCTGTTTCCCCAGGTTCCCCTTAAAACGGGTTCCATCAGCTGGGGGTGAGGTGACCTGAGGGCCTCAGGGTCATCTGTCTGCTGGCAAATGCCTCCTCAGAGCAGCTAAGCACTGAGAAGCAGGAAAGAGGCTTAGAGGTGGCAGGGGCTGCTGAAGCTTTAGTCATTAGACGAGGAGGAGGATTGTGATGGGGGCTGGGGGCCACCTTTGGGGAGAAAGGCAGAAAAGCCCAGGCAGCTGGGATGTAGGTAGCAGAGACTCTTCTCCAACTAATTTTGAGAACTTGGCTTCTCCAATGTCAGCCCCTGGAGCAACCACAGCCATCAGCACAAGAATCACCCCTAGGGATAGAGCTAATGGGAGGCACAGGGGACCAGGAGGCAGACCCGCTTCTGTGACTGACAGGACTTTCCAAAACTCATAGCTGAGACAAGCTCAGGAAGGGAGGAAAGGGGAGCCAGACAGGCTGGTCCCTGGGGCCTGGCCACCTAGACAGTCTCAGTTTGACTGGATCTTCCATTCTCTGCTGGAGAGCTAAGAGGGATTACTGTGCTTCAAGGTAAATGGGGGACAGGTAGAGGATGATCTGGCTAGGAATCAGCCAGGCCCCAGCTCCCAGGAAGCAGCCTCTGGTTCCCCACTTGCCTCCCTGGGTAGGTGTGCTGTGTGGGACTCCAGGCAGGGGAAGTAAGAGGCAGGCATCAGTGTCCCTAGGGAGATGAGAAGTCTCCCTATGCTGGGGCACTGAAAGAAGGCACTGGAGAACAGTGGGCTGAGGCCCAGCACGAGGGCCCCGAGGGGGAATGGGAGCTGTCATGGAAGATATGGGCAGAAGATGCTCACAGATCCTGGTCCCTCAGTGCTTTGCCTGAAAGAGACGAGATACGCAGGTAGGTGAAGCGCCCTGGAGCAAATAACCCACTCCCTGAACTCGGGGACTGGCCGTCTCTTTTCTCACAATCCTTGGCTATCTAATGCCCTTAAGCTTCCCCACAAGAGTAAGCTGGGGGTCCTGAAACAATCTTGGCTCCAAACCAGACCGAGCTCCCCCCAAGGTTGGGCAGAGGGTCAGAGCACTTCTGTCTTTGGTCAAAGGTGTCCCCAGACCATCATTATTTGCACAGGATCCTTGGGGCATAGTGGGGCAGTTATGCAGCAGGAAGACAGATCCCTGGTCTGAGGAGGGTTGCAGGTAGGACAGTAGATTGGATGGAGGAACACTGTCCTGGGAACTCTGATGCCTGGGGAGACCCGCCCTCTCCCTGGCTCCCTACCTTGCCCCTAGCCCGGGGAGAAGTGCTACTGCCAGCAGTGGTGGTGGCAATGCGAGGGGAGCGGCGGGTCCCACTTCGAGTGAGGGGAGAGGCCTTGGCTGCGGCTTTCTTAGCAGCCCCCCGAAGCAGGCTGTTCCCCAGTCTCTTGGGTGTGTTCAGAATGTTGAAGGCCAATGACTGGCGTCTGCTGGTCTGAAAAGAAGGAGGAAAAGAAAGCTGCCTGCATGTGGGTGGGCAGTGCCCTGCTCTGTGGGAGAATATTCCCCATCCACAGCCTTATCTTTGAGGTGAGCTCAATGACCCCTCAAGGGTTCTTGTACGCCTCTCAGCACCATCCCCCTCACCTGCTTGTTGGACGCAAGAGCCCCTTTCTTATGGCCTTCAGCGGCACTCATCTTCCGACCTTCATGTCTATCCCGGGGAGTAAGGGGACGAGGGAAACAGCTGGTTGGCTTCTTAGCCTGTGGAAGAGGAAGCGGGTGACAGTAGAGCTGGATCCTCCTGGATTCTCCTGAAGGAGACTGGGAGGAGGTGTGGGGGCTGGCTTGAACCCTGCTCTACTGTCAGAAGCGTGGAGCTTGGGAGAAGAGAGCAGGCTCAGGAAGGGCAAACAGTGGAGGGTCAAACATGGAGACAAAAAAGAACAGGTTAATGGGACCCAGCAGGGTCCCATGACAACACAAAAAGGGGTCTCTCCTCACAATGTGCCCTAGCACAGAAAGCCTGAACTTCAAGTTGGGCGATGGGGCCAGAGGCCATGTTCCACTACCAACCACCTCTGTGAGATTCATTCTGATCGCTGTAAAGAAGTGATGGTAATTCCAACCACTGGCCCCCCAATCCCATCTCCCTGTGAGGATCTGATAACGGGAAATGAGGCACGGGGGACCACATACCTCTGGGGTGCCAAGGCCTTGGTCAGGCTCAGTGGAGACACGCTTCCGGTGCTGCCGGGTAGTGACACTTGAGGGGATACGATGTGTAGCACTGTACTCATTGATCTGGGCCGGCTGCATGCTGGCTCGGCGAAGGGTCTCCTGGGGATCTCCGGTCTTCATCTCCTCATCTGTAATTGTGGTCAGGCTCATGGAAGGCTGAGGGAAGCATGGGACAAAAAGAAGGTAGGTATGAGACAGGCAAGTAGCTTGTAACATAGTGTGGGCTGGGACTTCAGGGGAGGTTCCCAGGGCCCGTGTATAATGGCCATACTTGACTTAAGAAACTTAAATCTTCTCACTCAGAGGGCTCCTATCCTGCTTGAAATGACTACCTAAGGTTAGAAAACTGATCTAAGAAACCCATGGACAGAGTAAATATAATTAGTTTCTGCCATGGAAATGTCTACCTGAAGACTCAGTATAAAGGATAAGTGGGGATGGACACTCAGAGCAAGGATAAGTAAAAGTAGATATCCTTTCTAGGCAGAAGCACATTCAGACACGGGGGACAGGAAGGAAGAGAGGGAGAAGCCTGAGCCCCTGATCTCCATATCCACCTTGGGGGCCTAAAGGGCTCAACAGCAGAGCTGACAAAATTGTACAAAGCTGGGCTAAGTCAAAGTGGCCAAGGAGAAGGGAGAAACACCAGACTCTAGGTGGGCAGGGGAGAAGAGGAGAGGGTTGGGGGCCCAATTGGTGGAGTCGGCCTCACCCTGGCCTCCAAGGGGTAAGAAGTCTTCAGGTGGGGGAGGCAGACACGGTTACGCTGCTGCAGTTCCGCAATTCGGTTCCAGTCGTCCAGCTGCTCTGGCTCGTCCTGGCAGGTGCCAGTATAGAAGCTGCTTCGACCTGCGATGGACAGGGGGGCAGTGGGACAGGAAAAAGAGACAGGGCCTAGAGGAGATGAGCCGGCTTTCCTGCACTTAACATTCTGCTTCCCTGATGTACTCTAAATCCATTGACCCTCAGAGATGATCAAATTTGGAGGAGACCAGGGATTCCTTCTATCCCAAATCCCTTCCCATAAGGCTCAACAGATAGGTGTGGGTGAGAGAGACCCAGGGAAAGAGACTGGAGCAGCAGCCCCCAGTGCCTCCCACTGACCTGGGGAGTGGTAAGACCAAAAGGCAAATGCCTAGAACTCCAGATTCTGAGGCAAGGGGCGAAAGATAATCGATTATTATCCTGAGCCAGTCGAGAAGACTACACCTGGGGCCACACACAGGAACAGGCAATCTAACTTCCGTGGTCTCTGTGAAGTCTGCTTCTGATTACCTAAGGCTAATCCTAAGCTAATGCCAGGGAACAGTGCAAAAAGAGAATTCACAGTGGAAGGAAACTAGATTTGGAGGCAGGAGACCTGGTCACAAATCGTGACCACACCGCACACTGTTAATATTTATGAAGCACCTACTATTATGTCTGCTGGCACTGGGATAGGTGATGAGAATGCAAAGACAAAAAAACAGAACAACCCCTATTCTCAAGAACTTGGATTCATAGGAGCCCTGCCACCTGTGCCAAAGCAGGTCAGTCACTTCATTTCTCTGGGCTTCTGCTGTTCATCTGTAAAATGAGAGGGTTGGCCCCACTGGACATCTAGGACCCCAGGATCTACCGATTCCATGGACGGCAAATAGCCCGAGGGACACAAGCTTTCAAACACCGGGTTGCAGTATGATTTTTTCTTCAGCATCCCAATTATGAATCCCCGCCCCAGACTGATTTTAAATTTAGTTTGCAGTCCCTGAGAACACACATTGGCTTGGCCCAGAGGCCGAATGGAGCATGTCAAGGAGTGACACAATGCAGCTCCACGCAAGGTAGATTAAAAATATTCCAAAGTGTTGTGAGTAGATAACAGCTTCTCAACGCTAGGACTGCTGACAGCCTACTTTAGTTGTATGCCTGGTCCCCTGGCAGGAACCTGCCGACTTCTAAGCCCCCTTTGTAGACCATCCCTCTCCCCTGGGGTCTCTCACCTGAAGGGGCCCCACTTGATGCTCTGGCCTGGGAGTGCCGGGCTGAGCTGCGTGTGGTGGGCCTGTAGCCAGGAAGGCTGAACAGGGTTGAGTTACCATCCTCCAGAGAACTCAGCCTGGTCCGGGACTCCCGGGACGGGCAGTTACCCAGGGACTGAGCTGAGGATGCAGAGCGAAGGCCACCACGGAGGCCACGCTGTGGGGCAGGGGCTGACTGTGTACTGTAGAAGGATGTGTTCGAGCTGTCAGGTTCATCTGTATCCAGCTTCTGAAAGACAGGATGGCTGAGTTACAGTTTAGGGGAGAGGCTGTCTCAGCCCAATTCTCTACAGAAATCATTTGGCTTCACCTTTTTTGCTCCTGAGCCAACCTACCTTGATCTACCCCGCAGACTTAGAACTTATTTACTGTGGAACCCTCTCATCTAGCTGTTATGTTTACATTCCTTTGTAAACATTCTTGTTTTTGTCAGTCCTGGCAACATCTGCTAATAAAAACACTCCTTTGCATTTGTAGAGTATTTTACATTTACAACTTGACAGGTTCAGAGATTCAGAACAGCCAAGAATATAGGTCAGATCTTGACTCTCAGTTCTGCTCTCTTTCTCCTAGCCCTAAATATGTTTAGGATTAAGCTTCCTGAGGTCAGCAACTATCTTCTCTTATTTTTAAAATTTGTTCTGAAAAGAGAGTTGTGCACCCAGAACACCTTCCCATTCTGTTTCCCCATCTGAGCCAGAGAGAGATGAGGCTCCTGAGAGTCATACCAAATGCTGTAAAAATATGGAGTCACGGGTTTAGGGAGTGCAAGGTCAGACCACAGCCAGGAGCCACAACTTACTTTGGAGGAGCAATGACATCTCAGCCATAAAAGAGAATCTAAAGGAGCCTGAACCCTTTCCTTCATTCCACTCTTCTTTATCCTCTTTCATTAGAGACCGAATGAAGTACACACGGCACGGCATGGGAGGAAGTCAGGAGACCTGGGCTTTGCCAATTCTAATGTGAACTTACCAAGTGCCTTTGTGCAACACCTGATACCAGGTTCTGCGCTCACTTTCAAAATATTATCAAATAGGGGTGATTAATTAGCTCTGTCATTGTGAAGAGATGTGAGGATCTTTTACTGTGGGCTAGGCACTCAGGACATAAAAGCAAAAGTGAGAGGAAGGTAGGGAAGAAAGAAGGAACTAAGTATTTATATAAAACCTACTAGGTGCAGGCACAGTGCTATGCAAATAACATCTCATTTGACCTGAAGGAATTTACATTCTAATAGAAGTGATGAGAAAGTAACTAGATGAGTGCCCACTTGAGGCACCTGAATTTAGTCTCCTGGGTCCAAAATCATCCCCATTTCCCCTCTTCCCCGACTTCAGCCTCACCCTGGATAGCATTGTGATATCAATTATCTGTGTGGTACGCCTTCGGGCTGAGCGCGTCTTGGGACCAGAATCCAACATGATGTCACCCAAGGAGTCCAGGCTGCTTTCTAAGGGGGCCTGTCCTCGGTCAGGGATTGGCGTGAAGTACAGGCTCTCCAGGGACTCCACCTTGGCAGGCAGGCGCTGAGAGATGGGGGAGGCTGGCTCCCCAGGGAGGCTGGTGCCATCAGGCTGGGTTCGGGATGACTTTCTATGGAGGCAAAACCTATTATTAAACCCTTGGGGCTGCAAGGCATTTTGGAGGCTATTGATGCTGCCTCTTCATGTCTGGGCAGCACTGTAACCATTTTCATCCCTGCTGGGTCTACCACCTAAGATATGCAGCACAAATTTGCCAATTTTGGCCATTGGTGGATCTGTGCTATCTTTGTGGCAAGAAACGACAGATGCAAATGAACTAAAATTGCATTCGGTTTTCTGTTTCAAATCTCTAAACCTTGAATCTTGAAATGACAGGATAAGCCCTGTTAGAGAGGGGCCTACTCATTTTCCACAATAAGTCATGTTCTCTTCTCCCTTTGCAAACATCATTGCTTTCTGGAAAACCTTTCCCTAATGAACAGCCTGCCTGTCAATACTCCACAGGTCCTATACACCTATACAGCCCCAACAAATGCCCTTTGTCTCACATGCTACCCTATCCCCTAGAATGTCTTTCTCATCTATGGCATCTTCACCTGTTGAAATTCTACTTATCACTTAAGAGTCAGCTTAAATTGCTACCTCTTTTTACACAAATATTCACACAAGCAGTATTTACAATAATAAATTAGAGGAATTACTGCACAAATTGTGCTACATGAATGCAATGGACTATTAGTGGGTAATAAGGAATGATGTGTATGAGACTATGGAAAGACTTCAATGAAGTGACACAGAATGAAGAAAAGTCCAACCAAAAAGAATGACATATATCATTTTAACAACTACTTAAAGACGACATAAAAGGACAAGAAAACTCAGACTAAGAACTAGAGATGGTAAAGTCGACCATAGCTCTTACACTTGTCCTTTTCTTTAAGGAACTGCAGACTACTAAAGCTGTGACCCTCAAATGAAAGAACATATGAAGGCATTTTAAAAACTGTGAAGCACTGTATGGTTATTCATAGTGATCAACACTGAATGCATGCCCCAAATCTCTCCTTCTACCTATCTTCCTGTACCAGCCCAGGCTGCAACCCTAAAGTCACCTCTGCCTCTCCCCTCTCACTCATACCCCATCAGGTGGCAGGCAAGTCTTGTCAATTTTACCTTCAGAACCTTTCTTGTATCTGTGCCCTTTCCATGCCCACTGAAAATCCTGTTCAGGTCCAATTCTGTCCTGTTCCCCCTGTCTCTAGCCTCCCCACCTCCTCCCACATTCATCCACTGCTTAGGTTATCTTCTTTAAGCCCTGCTGTGATCATGTTCCTCCCGTACTCAAAAGCCTTCAGTGACTACCCAGCGCCATCTGATGGAGAAGCTCTTTACTTTGCCATGCCAGGTCCTCTAAGACGACTCCAACCTACAATTCTAGCCTCCTCTAGTGCCCCTTTACAAACTCTTCATTCTGGTCATAGCAGTCTACATTCCATCCTCTCATTCTCTTCTCTCCCATCTCCACATCTCTGCTCATGTGCTGTGCCTGGAATGGACTCCACTGCAGCCTGATGAAGGCTATGCCAGTGGCATGATACTGACCTCTACCACATGGATGCTGCCCTTGGAGCATCTTAGATGGAGACATAGGATCCAGCCCTTATCAAATCTCAGGATCTAGCCATAGCTGAGATTTCTCATTCAAAGGCTGGATTGAGGCAAAGATGTACCATGTTGCTAAGGTAACAAACCGGGTACGGTGAGCTGCTGATCTCGTAGAGGTCAGTGGTGTCCCTTCTTCACTGCTCAGTTCTAGGCTGTCAGTGCTCAGGTCCAGCTGGGGCTGTGCCCGGGGTTCTCGACTCTTCAATGCATCTGTTGCCACCTGAAACTTTCCAAGGTCTCGGAGCTGCTGATCTGCATGGGCAACCTGGCAGGCAGGAGAGGGGAGGGAGGGAGGGAGGGAGAGAGAGCGAGAGAGAGAGAGAGAGAGAGAGAGAGAGAGAGAGAGAGAGAGAGAAGAGAGAGAGAGAGAGAGAGAGAGAAATGCTTGTTTGTCCTTGTTCAGGAAGGTGAAGAGGAAACCTACTTAGAATCAGGCTCAACTGATACTTGTGAAAAGCTTGCCTGGAGAGACAGCAATGAGTAATAAATAAAGTGCTGGACTTGAAGTCAGAAATACTTGGCTTACAGCTATTCCCCAGGAGATAAGTGGTCAAAGGCTATGAATAGGTAAGTTTACAAAAAAAAAAATAAACGCAGGTTATCAAAAAGAATCACTGAACAATGAGCCAATCACTAATCAAAACACTAATTAGAAAAATGCAAATCAAATCAAAGCAACTCCGAGGTTTCACCTTGTGTTCATCAGTTTGGCAAAGATAACAAAAGAATAAGATAATCTATGTTGCAGGTGCTATGGGAAGGCAGGTACACCAACACACTACTGGCATAGCTGCCAATTTGTCCAATCGTTCTGGAAAATAATTTGGAATTAAAATAAAACAGTCACTAAAATATGCCCTCCCTCGAATGAGGCAACATCATTACTAGGCATATACCCCTAAGGAAGTCAAAGACAGAAGAAAAAGTTCCCTTGTATAGAAAAACATTCAGAGCAGGGACCGTAAAAGATTGTAAGGAAAGGGGGTGCCCACGGACTGGGGTTCTAACTTGTGGTGGGCACCAAACCACCAAGGAAACAAAAAAGTAGGAGAACCCCAAAAGGTTCCTTCCCTTGCTCAAGAGGAAGGCCTGACAACTTCCCATACCTTTTCTCCAGGTTAGGATTGTGTCTTCCTTGCTCTGCCCTGCCCCCAGCTCCCAGAAGTCTCTCATTTCTCACCTGTGCCTCCAGCGTCCGAACCTGGGCTGTGAGGTGGCGGCAGGCCTGCTCGGCCTCCTTGGCCTTCAGCCCAGCCTGCTGCAGCTCCCATCCAAGCCTCTCTGACTCGGCCCGAAGCTCTGCATTCTCCTTCTGCAGATTTTCCATGCTCTGTAGCCGTTCCTGCAGCTCTTGGTTCTGCTGCTTCTTGGCATCATAGTGAGCCTTGGCCTTCTCCATCTGCAGGTGAGGGGGAAGACAACAAAGAGCTCAGGAGACCTTCCTCCCAGAAGTGGGTCCACCATCATGGTACTAAGGGGCTGAGGCTCCTCACCTGCACCTTGTAGTGCTCGGCGGCCTGTTCCTTCTGGCTCAGTAGAGCCTGCAGCTCACTAATTTGAGCCTGGTGAAGATGAGCTTCCTGCTGGATTTCACTTTCATGGGGCTACAGAAGGAGGGAGGAAGAGGTTAACCATGAGGCCAGTTCGAACTCTTCCCGACTCAAGCAGCCCCCACCAATGCCTGGGAACCCCACATTTTGGGTCTTTTCTCCCAAGAGTCCTGTTTCTTAATGTTTTAGGTAAAAAGTTGGCATCACATAACAGAAAAGAGCACTGGATCTGGAGTCAGCTGGTCTCAGTCTGAATCTTGGTTATGCCAACTGCTAGGGTATGGCTGTGAGCACACTGCTTCTCTGGGATGCAGCTTCCTTATGAGTGAGACGAAGGTGTTCAACTAGGGAGCCTTGAAGGTCCCTTCTAGTTGTGATCCCATGATACCATCGGAGAAAAGAGGACACGGCACACCCAGGGAGGACCTGAGTCTGCCAGGCAGCTCCTGTCCCCACTGCTCCTTTCCTTGCTGATACCGTCCTCTTGGAAAAGCAGAATCATCTAACTGGCAGTTCTTCTGCGCACCTTTCCTAAGATTGTCCCAATATGTGCTTCACCTCCTTTGTTACCCCCTCACATCTGATTAAACCACGCCAGTTCCCAAGGTGTTTTTGCATACTCAACACATGTGGTACCTCCCCCCCCCCCAGCCAAATACAATCAGGGAGGTATCCTCAATTTACAGATGAGGAAACTGACCCTTAGAGAGATTATATGACTTGCCCAAGAACAGCAATCCTACGTGACAGTCAGGGCTCAAATCTAGTATTCTTTTCTCAAATACATATTTCATTAAATACTTATTAAGTCCTTCTGCCCTACAGCACCTAGCACTGGGCCAGACATAAAGGAGTATGGGTAGGTTTGAAGGTTGAAGCATGTTAGACTACAGATGTCCGCAACCTCGGTATCATCATCTTTTTGTCCCATTCCCTCCCTGTCCCCAGACAGTTGCCAAAATCTTGTCAATTCTATGTCCATCTCTTACCATGCCTCCCTCTACTTACACAACCCCAAGATTTGTTTAGGCCTTCAACCACTTCTTGCCTGGACTCTTGTGAATGTTTCCTAATTGGTCTCCTCATTCCCAGTTTCTCCACTCTCTAACCCATCCCACCCTACAGTAGCTAACACAACAGCTTTCCTAAAGGATGGGCCTGACCAACTGTATCACTGCCTTATTTAAACTCAAGAGGCTTCCTTGGCTTCCTGTTATTTCAAGGATAAAATACAAACTGACCTTAGACCTGAAAGCCTTTCATAACCTAGCTCTAGACCACTTCTCCAGACATTCACACTAACCATTCCTCTTCAGGTACTCCACATTCAGTCCAAATGGGTTCACTTGCTGTTGGCAGAACTTTGGGCACATCCTACCAATGAGTGATGGCTTCCTAGCCTGCCTGGTGGCATCTGACTAGGGCTCAGGCTACAAGGAGGGTAGAAGGAGAAAGAAAAACCCCAGTCTCTTCCTCAGAGCAGTTTCCCCTCTGCACTCAATGACCCATGAACCAGAGCCAGGTAACCTCTGGAGATGTTGCTCACAAAGGTAAGGGCACCCACAGTGCCATAACCACTTTCTTTATTCCCCTCTAACCTTGACACAAAGAGTCAAAGAGACACAACTTAGAACTAGCTGGAGGCACTATTTTTGCTCCTCCTGGAACAAAATCAATACCCTTCCCTGCTCCCATAACTTACCTTCAGATTTTGTTGCTGGGCCAGCTTCTTATTCAGTTCCTCCACCTACAGAGAAGGAAAGGCAGACAGGAGGAAGGAGAAAGGACTTAGAAGAGCCTTCCCCACTCAGATACAGGGACCAGGTTTTAAAGGCCTATCTAAGCATGCAAAGAAGGGCCCAAATCCCCAGACCTGCTCTAGGAGTGAGGTGGTGATGCAACACAAACAATGGCCTTCTCTGTACTAGTAGTTGCAGGCTTCAGCGTCCACAATGAACACGTACTATGTGGGTTATTATTGTTTTTCCTCCTGTACTCCCAACCCACTCCTCCTCTGTCCCCCGATAATCAAGACACAGATCTACCTCCAAGCCAAAGCTTGAAGAATTATCTTCGAGGAACTGATAAGGACTATAGGCAGATGTAGCTGTTGTATGCTTCATCTTTACCTCAGCTGCCTATATTCCCAGACAGTGGTAGGAATATTATCTCCTCCATCTCCTTTCCACTCATCCTAGGTCAACCAATCTCTAAACCCCACCCCCTTGCTAGAAGTAGCAAAGCCAAATCTTATCAGCTTTTCAGAAGCACCAACCAGTTTCTAAGCTTCTTCTCCTAACCTAGCTGTTCTCTCCAATTCCCACTTCACAAACAGCCAGGCAAGTTGCCAGAGGCATTAGTAGCTTACGGTGATGTGGTTAGCGTTGGGAGAGGGAGTGCTGGATGGAGGGGTGAGTGAGCACCTAGGAAGCACTACAAGTTAGCAGCATACCCAGATCCCACCAAGAGACAGGAAGGGAAACAAAGTCACCAACTCAGGTTATGTGGTGGGGATAAGGAGGTGTATCCACTGTCAACTCTTTGATGTCCAAAGAGTCAACTGTCTATGGGGTCCATTACAGGAGGAAGGGGTAGGAATCCAGCTATTGACTTGGGAAGGGCACTGATGGGTTACTACTACCTTCAGCACGGAGGAATGGTCTCTTCTCTGAGCTGTTTCCAACAGGAAGCGGTGATGACTTATGACAAACTATGGTCTCTCTCTGAGACAGAAGAAGCCTAATCTGCCCTGACCATGATGCCTCTTTGGCTGGTGCTTTTATAGATGTCTAGGGGTCCAACTTTACCCCAGGTATGTATAAAAGCAATGCTTTTAAGGAATTTGACCTCCATGCCATTTTCCTACTCCTTGTGCCCCCATCCAAAGTCTTGTCCCAGGTTACTCCTATCAAAATGCTCTGGAGAAACAGACATAATCACAGGTGGGGGGGGAGGGAGTAGGAAGGGCTACAAAGGATGGAAGGTATTCCTTGCTTAGCTCTCTTTCCTGCTCAATTCTGCTCCTTTGATAGAACTTTGGGAAGAGCAGGTTGTGAAGACCGCTCCTCTCCTTCCCGCTAGAGGGCAGGGCTTGCGCCTAGAACTCAGTTACTGGTATCACAGTTACCAGGAGGATGGTACTTAAAGGCTAAACCCCAGAATTCCACTAGTTTTCACTTTGGCAATCAGCTGGCTCAGGAACAAGATCAGAAGGGTTGGGTTAGAGGGTAATTGGGGGGTGGCCGGCTGCAGACTTCATTTAGGAACCAAAGATCTACGCTGCAGAAGGCAGCCTAAGGGAAGTTAAAAGGGTTGTCTCTCTGGAGCGCAGCTTGGAGAGGATACAACCAAATTACGGAAAGTAAGAAGTAGCACTGGAATGTGTGTCTCATTCCTACCCCACTGGCCTAACATGACAGAGAGCATGGCAGGTAGAGGAGGCCCACTGAGGAAACCTGCAGAAAGAATTGGCAGATGAGGTCAAGGCATTGGCCCTGTCTCCTTGTGGGAAGACCCAGCATACTCCACAGCAGCCCAGGACCTGGGCCTCTATTCACTTGCACACCCCCCGTCCTCATCCCCCACCCCGAGGGAGAGAGGGGGGAGGCCCCACCGCAGTAAACAGCTCCCAGCAGGAGATGATGATGGCAAGCTGCAGCCAGGGTCATGCACTGTCACCGCTTAAGCAGCCAGTGTTTAGCGGGAACCCCAGGCATTACCTGCTTAGTCTGTTCTCTCTGAAATACCTCTAGTTGCTCCACCTGTGTAAGTGGGAGGGAGCAATAGAGACAGTGAGATTAGGGATAGGGACAAGATGAAGGCATGGTCCTGCTGCCAGGCTTACCTCAATTGGGGTTCAGAGCTGGGGATCTGGGGTGGGCACCCAAGGGTCAGGTAAGGGTAAGGATAGGGAGATCTCCTGCTTATCCTAGGACACTGGCTTCCCGATGGGGGTAGGAGGAATACATCTTTTCAGCTCAGCCAAATGTCTACCTCCATTTGCTCAGCTAGCAGCCAGACCACACTGTGCAGTGATCCAGTACACCTAAAACACACGTTTGCCCCTGTGGAACAGGCCAATGACTTCACCACAAATCCTCTTCATTGGTCTCAGATCCATCACAGGAAAGAAAAAAAGGCTGACAACACCTCAGGACTTGTGAAGAGAAAGAAGAGTCCTGGGGCTAGGCCATGATAAGGGGACCATGGTCCTCCAGGTTCTATCAGCATTTTCTAGCCTACCCAGGGAACGAAGAGGTAGTTAGTTGCCAACTTTCTCAATATCCCGAGACAAAAAACAGTAGGCAGAACAAAACTGGGTCTGGGAGGATCTTAAACTGTGGACTCTGAGGGGATATCCTGAGGTGACTAGGTCCCTCCTCCTCTGCTTTAACACTGGGGCTGGGCACCTTACCTGGGCAGTGAGTTTCTGCCGCTCTTCTTGGAACCTCTGCCTCTCTTCCACGACCTTGCCCTTGGCACTCTCATACTTAGCTGTCATGGTCTCCAGCTGCCGGGCTGTGTCCACAGCCTCCTCTCGGCTCTGGGCTGCCTGGGCTTCTGCCTTGGCCCGTATAGCCTCAAGTTCTTGGGCCCTCCTGAGCTCAGCTTCTAGCTGCTGCCGCCCATGGCTGGCCCGCTCCCCCAGGTCCCGGTTCTCTTTGGCAAGCTGGCCATGGGCCTGCTGGAGCGCGCTCAGCTGATCGACGTAGCTGGCGTTCTCTGCCCGCAGCTGATGGGCTGCCCGCTCTAGCTCTGCCACTTTCTGTCGCAGTGTGGAAAGCTCTCCGAGTTCGCGGCGGGCCCGAAGAAGCTCCGCCTGCAGCGCTGCTGCGGCCTTCTCACCCTGCTCGAGCTCCTCGCGGTGACGGCTCTGCAGGACACTCTGCTCGGCCTCTAACTGCTGGCAGAGGTGCTTGACAGGCAGCAGCTCCCCAACCAGGTTCTGGGCGGCGGTGAGCTCACGCTGCATGGAGGACAAGGACTGCTCTTTCTGGGAGAGCCTTTCCCGCCATGCCTTTAGCTCCTGGCTGAGGCCCTCGGCCCGCTCAGCTTGGGAGGCCAGCTCCCTCCGGAGACTGTCTGCAGCTGCTCGCTGCTTCTCGGCTTCCTCCCCGAGTGCCTGCACCTCGGAGCTCAGGGCCGCGCTGCGCTCTGCTGCCTGTGTGCTGGCACTGGCTGTCTCTGCCTGTAGCAGGCGCAAGCGCTCTTCCAGCTTCTGGCTCTTTTCTGACTCGGCCAGCACCAGTCTCTTCAGCTCTTTGCTCTCGCCCTCTTTCTCTAGGACCTGGAGGTTCAGGATGGACACCTCTTCCTCCAGGCTGCCAATAAGGCTGTTATTCCTCTCCGCCTCCTGCTGGCTGCGGGCCACTTGGGCTTTCCACTCCTCTTCAGCCTTGCTCTGTTCCTGGGCGGTGGCTCGGAGGGCAGCCAGCTCTTGGGCACTCTCCTCCAGCTGGGCCTGAAGAGTGGTGGTGGTGCCTTCCTGACTGGCCTGGGACAGCCGAGCAGCCTCGAGGCGGCGCTCCAGCTCGGAGGTCTTCTCCTCCTGCTCCTGACACTGCTGCTGCAACTTGCCCAGCTGAGTGCGCAGAGCCTCCAGCTCCTGGGTGCCTGACACCATGGTTCCAGGAGTGCCTGTCTGGGAAGCCTTCTCCTCCGCCTTGGCTAGCTGCTCTCTCAACCTCTTGATGGTCGTCTGCAGCTCTGCCCGTTCTACCTGCAGGGCAGCCTCTTGTTTCTGTAGCTCTTTGAGCTGCTGTTCCTTCCCTTCGGATCCTTCCAGGGCCTGGGCCAAGGCTTCCTGCAGGGCAGCGAACTCCACCCGCTGCTCACTCAGGGAGCTCTGCAGCCTCCTTTCCAGCTCTGCCTTGGCCGCTTTCTCAGCAGCCAGGTCTGCCCTGGCCTGGTCTCGCTCCTCTCCCACGTGCAACACTTCCCGCTCCCGCTGGGCACGCTCTTCCTCCTGGCACCCACGGCTCTCAGCCAGAGTGCCACGTGCTTGCTCCAGCTCCCTCGCTAGCCGCTCTGCTTCCTGCTCCTTGGCCCGCAGGGCTGCTCTGGCCCTGCTTAGCTCCTGGCCCTGCTGCTCCTCCAGCTGCTGGGCTGCGGCCTCAAGCTCTCCCGCCCTCCGCTGCTCTTCGGCCAGCCTCTGTAAAGAGGTTTCCTTTTCCTCATCTGCCTTCCTGGCTGCAGCCTTGAGCTGGGCCACCTCCTCCTGCAGCCTGGACAGGCCATCAGCCAGACTGTCAGCCTGCTCCTCCTTCTCCTGGAGTCGCCGGAGAGTGCCTGACAGGTCAGCCTTGAGTCGGGCATGTTCTTCTTGTAGCTTGGTATCCCGGCGATCGTTGAGTGCCTCTAGCGCCACCACTCTCTCCTGGGCCGACTGCAGCTGCTGCCGCACTCTCTCGCACTCTTCGTTCAGAGCCTTCAGTTGCTCCTTGTGCCGGGCGCCACGCTGTGCCTCCTCCTTCTGGCTCTCCTCAAAACGAGCGTGCCAGGAGGCTGCTTCCGCAGCCAGCTGCTTGCATTCTCCCTCTGCCTCTTGCTGGGTAGCCGCCACCTTCGCCAGCTCCTGCTGTAAGGCCTCTACTTTGGCCTGGTGCCCTTCCCCGAGCTTCTGGAGCTGAGCCTCCAGACCTCGCCGCCCAGCCTTCACTTCCTCCAGCTGCCGCCGATCTTTTTCTCGCTGCTGCGCCAGGCTCTGCGTCTCTGCCTCCAGCTCTGAAATGCGCTGCAGCTGCCCCTCCAGGGCCTCTGCAGCCCGTCGCTTCTCGTCTTCAAGAATGCCCTTAGTGTTCTGTACTGATTCTTCCAAGGAGAGCAGTCGTTCCTGGAGCTGGGCATTCTCCCGAGCTAGCCCTTCTTTCTCTGCCACTTTCTGTTGCTCAGCCTTTAGTTGGCTCTCCAGTTCCTGGACCTGAGTTCGAAGGTTTTCTGCTGATTTAGCCTCTGCCTTATGCTCTTCCTGCCAGGTTGTCAGGTCAACTACCCGAGCATCAAGTTCCTCCACTTTCTGCCTCATCACAGTCTTCTCCTGCTCGGCCTCTGTGGCACAAGCCTGGGCACTGGTACAGGCTTCCTTGGCAGCTCGGAGCTGCTGCTGCAGAGCTCCCGACTCCGTGGCCTTCTCTTTCGCCAGCTCTTCCAGTTGCTGCAGGGCTGCCCCCTTTTCCCGCTGGGCCTCCTCGCATGCCTCCGTCGCTGCTGCTAGCTGCCGGTCCTTGGTCTGGCTGGTCACCTCCCAATCCCGGACCAATTCCTGTAGCTTCCCCTCTTCCTGCCTCAGCCTGCCGCTCAGGTGCTCCACCTGCTGCCGGAGGCCTTGGGACGCCAGCTCTTGCTGTCGAAGGGTCTCAGTCAGTCGCGCTCGCTCCTTTTCAGCCTGCTGCTTCAGGTCAGCCACATCACGGTCCTGCTGCTGAAGGGTGGTGTGGAGGGTGGCCACTTGGGCGGTCAGCTGAGCTTCCTGGGCCTGAGCCTTCTGCTCCAGCTGCTGCTTCTCCTCCTCGAAGCGGTGCTGCTCGGCTCGCAGCTCTGCCTCCCACTGATTTCGTTCACTCTGCAGCTGCTTTACTGTGCCTTGAAGCTCAGCCTCCTTCGCAGCAAGGCTGGCTACCTCCTGTTTCAGGGCTTCCAACTAGTAAGAAGAAGAGACACGCATTAGGTGCTAGCCCCATGCCTGCAGCCCAGAGGGATGGAAAGAAGGAAAACGGGTGATATCTTATTACTCTCCACAGCTTGCGCTTGGTTAAAAACAAATAAACAAAAAACCCGGACTCCCAGTTTCACCTAGGCTGAAGTGTCAGGGACTATTTGTGAGCGTCAGCTCACTCTGACTGGCACAGGGAACTTTGATCTGCTCCAACTCCAGCCTGGTCTGGTTTGCCCCTCCTTTATGCAGCCTGGTTTCCCGCAGCCCTCCCCCCTCCCCCAATTCCATAGGGGCCACCAAATTAAAGAAGAACTTGATAAAAGATATCTCTTAGCCTGTTGCAGCTAAGAGCTCTCAAACTCAAGGGATCCTCCCACCTTGGCAGGGATTATAGGGGGTGGGTCTTTCAAAGATGGGAAAAGCAGACTAAGAAAAATGAACCAATTCACTCAAGATTTCACATCAAGTTAACTGCAGATCTATGATTTCCCTTCAGGAGGGTTTCCTGAACCCAAGCCCAGTGCTTTTTCTATACCATACCATCTCTCCATGTGATCTCTTCAGAACATCTCTTGTACAGGTATTTTTTTATAAGAACATGTGGAGAGGAAACCATTAATAAAAGCAGTAACTGTGAGCTTTTAGGGTTGTGAGTGTCCATCTCCAGGCTCCCCTTCTTGAGCACTAGAGAAACAGACAAAGAAACTGCCTCCAGTTCAATCCCAAGCACACTGTTAAGACCTCAGAGTTGAAGGGATGAGCCTGGAATACAGGGTCTTTTCTTGATGCCTCAACAGCCACATCACCATCTCTCTACCTGCAAGATGTCGCCCAACACCTCTCCCTTCTCTAGGGATGGATTCTTCCCAACCTGCGCCAGCTGCTCTTCCAACTGTGAGATTTTTCCCTGGAGGATTTCATTCTTCTCTTCTAGGCATTTCTAAGAAAGAAACAAGATACCAAAATGAGTAAACAGTAGTCAGGAGCCACAGAACAGTCCCTTGAGACTCTCAGGTCCCTTAGCCTCATACCTGAATAGTCAAAGATCAATCATGTAAACCTGCTTATATGACAGACCTGGTGACAAAATTCAGCTGGTAAACCTGGGAAGAAATATCAGAGAGCTGGAGCTAGGGTCAGCCCAGATAACTCCTACGCTAAGGGCTTTGTTACTCTATAATACTGTACTTCTGCAGAAGCCCTGATCACAGCCTGCCCTCCTCCTCAGGCTACTTTCCTGACCACCTACCATGACTTCTGCATGAAAAAAGCTCAATAAACTCAGGTTCTTTATTCTTTCTGGGATCACACAATGGAATCATTCTCATCCTTGCTTAAAACTAAAAGAAAAATTAAAGGCCCAGCAGAGGAAAATCGGCAGATTCAACTGGGGATGTGCTGGCTCCTCATCAGGTGCCTGGGAAAGGATCTTGGGCAAAGTTCTCAGTCTTCATTTCTCAGGAAAGTGCTGTTACTTTGGTGGTTATCACCTTGTCTTGCAGGGTGGTGCTGAGTTCTGTCTCCAGGTGGGCTTGTTTTCCCTCCATTCCTTTGTGGAGCTGTTATGTTCTTCTGTCTGATCATTGAGAGCCTCCTGTAGCTGTAGCAGATGGCTGGCAAAATCTCGAAGCTAAGACAGATAAACAAAAAGAATTTTCTAAATCTAAGACCTAGACCAGCCATTTTTCTTCCTAGCCCAACACCCCCCCCCCCCGCCAGGAACAGAACACTTCCACACTCCAAGAAAAGGAGATAGGCAGCTACCACCAATCACATCCCTGATTCAGTTCCTACAGATCAGAATTTGTTGTTTGTTTTGGCGAGGGGTTAAGTGACTTGCCCAGGGTCACATAGCTAATAAGTGTCAAGTGTCTGAGGTCACATTTGAACTCAAATCCTCCTGACTCCAGGGCCGATGCTCTATTCACTCCACCACCTAGCTGTCCCTACAGATCAGAATTTGATGATGCTTTCCAGAACCTAAGTAACAACCAATCATAGGAGACTGGGAACAGGCAAAGCCAGAGTATTTCACTGGAGAGACATAAGGCTACCTTGTGACCCTTCTATCCTGTTCCAGGAGCATCACAGCCAGCTGCCTCATGCACAGTCATGACATCCCATTACCATGGTACAACACCTAAGGCCACACACCTTGAAAGAAAGGTCCCCATTCTCCTCAGATAGCTGGTCAATTTTGCGTTCCATCTGGCCTTTTTCAGTCTTCAGGTCCTGGCACTGTTTCAAGGCTTCATGTAATCGTATGCTCAGACTGGAAGAAAAGGAGAACAGTGAGGGGAGCTCATTTCCCACCCCTGACTGCCAGACTGTGGCCCAGAGTGAGAGGGATGAGGCTGGAAGAAGGGAGTTAAGGGAAGGTGATACCTCTCATTCTTGCCACGCAGTTCTTCCAGCTCTTTAGACTCCATGGATCCTGTGGCCTGCTTCTCATTTAGGAGAGCCAAGCGATCAACACGCTGCTGCATCGTGGAGATCTGGGTGTCTGCCAAGATTGGAGGAGGTAAGAAGAGATGCTCAGAGGCAGGAACCCAAATGTGGCACTTTTTAACACAGCACGGGAGGGTGTGTGTTAGGGGATGGGTAGCAATGGGAGTGGCAAGGGGGTATTTAGCCTAAGGTCCAACTGAAGACAGGGAAATGATGGATGAGGAGAAAGGGCAAGAAGAGGGGCCCTCCCAGGAAACCAACCTCACCACTCTCTTAACTGGGCTACTTCCCACAATCTGGTAAAGACTAGAAAGCCAAAGTCACAGGACCGACCTCCAAAAAAGTCAAAGCCCCGCGGCTCACCTGCCCTCTTCTCTGCACGAACCCAGAGAGCTGGGGACAGCCGAGGGGAGGAGATGGCCTGATTGTGGGGAGAGATGAAGAGGACACTGACGGGACGTTTCCCAGGTAAGCCCAGTACTCCCTCAGGGAAGGGACCCGATGTAGCAGTTCTCTGTGAGGGGAGGAGATGGCAGGCGGGTATCTGCTCGCCTAGCTACTCACCCTTCTCAGCCAGGAGCTGGCAGCTTTTGGCTAACTCCAGCTCCAACTCATCACGGCTGGCCCGTTCATCTGCCAACTGTTTCTTCAACCGTCTCATTTGGAACTGGGGGGTCTGAAGGATATCACCCATTGGAGAAGCAGGAGACCCTGACAAGAAGCTGAGGAAGATATCCCAGGGACCCCAAATCAGAACATTGGACGTCAAGGCTGGAGAAGCCACCCACATCCCAGGAAAGGCAGACGCCAGGACAACAGCCTAGACAATTGGTTCTGTTCTCAAAATGACCCTGGGGCAAATCTCATTTTCTAGTTTTCATTTTCTTTACAGAATGGAAAGAAGACTCCAATATAGGTTTTGATTTTTTGTTTTTGTTTTGGCAATGGGGTTAAGTGACTTGCCCAGGGTCACACAGCTAGTAAGTGTCAAGTGTGGAGGCTAGATTTGAACTCAGGTCCTCCTGACTACAAGGCCAGAGCTCTATCCACACCGCGCCACCTAGCTGCCCCGTAACATAGGTTTTATAAGGAGGAAGAGGACTGATACAAGTCAGTCAAATTTCTAGGAAAAAAGAGTTTATTTATGGTCATTCATTCATTCCTTCAACCATTCAGTTTTTGCCCAATATACCCCTGGACTCACTTCCCTAGGTGGAATTAAGTAAGGTAAAGAAGATTACATTACACTGTCCACTGAGCCCCAAAATGTTCCATTATAGTCAAAAGAAGAGAATTCTTGAGCCTCTGGGCTGCAAAGATGCCAGGGTTAGAACTGAAAAGAACACGCCCCAGGACTCACTTGTTGAGGCCTGATGAGGAGCCAATCTTCTGCAGTTCCAAGAATCGAACTTCCTTCTTGGCTTGTTGGGGAGTCACTGGGGAAAGCTCCTCAGAGCTAGTGCTAGGACTACTGGGAGGGAGAGGAGCTGAGTGGGGAGAAAACAAACAAAAGTTAATGAAAGGCTAGGTGGGTCAAAGGAACAGCCTGTTTGTGGCCCAGCAAAGGACAACATTAATCAATTCACCAAACACAAAACACAGAGAACAACTTGGGGTTCTGCCATCAGGGAAACTAGAATCTTTAAGCCAATTCAACGACAGTGACTGGTCTCATTAGGGTAACTCCTGGGACAGGACTAATGGAGGCAATGAACTGGTTATTAGAACATACTTCAATGGATAAAACAATCATCTGAAAACTTGCTAAACTGCTGCTGAGACAAAGAAGCAAAAGAGCCTTAGGGACTGGGAAGCAGCGTGAATTGCATGGATATCTCTCTAATACTCTGAGGACACAGCAGAAACGCGAACTAAAGAGATCCTTGCTTGTGCCTCTGGCAAGCTCTGGACCCCCTCAGGCCTGCAGATCAATGCCTGCTCACCTTTCTGCAGAAAACTCTTTAAGCTGTCATTCAGACTCAGCCCATCTTCATGATCCAGCACAAATTTAAGGATGGCAGCCAACTCCGCCTGAGAAAGAGACAGAGATGGAACAGAAAGAGAATATATGCCCAGGGCATGAGGAATATGAATAAGGACTGTAGCTCCCCTAATTTCTTTCCTTTCCAAATTTCCCTGCTGAAGACAGTAAGAAGTAGCCTACGGCTCAGTTCACTACAAACTTCGGGCAATTTGCTCTTCCTGATGGATTCCTCTCCAGTACAATGACTTCAGGGAAGTGCCAGCCATGCTTCACTTCACTCTCAAGCCTGTGCTTTATCCTCTTTCATGGGCCTCCTGGCCAACCTCTGATGGTGAGCACGTACACCTTCCATCTCTCCCCCCTATACAGGTAAGGAACCATGATATATTAAACTAGGTTACTGTTCCTGGACGGGGTAAGTCAGTTGACTCCCCCACAGTTCCACTCACCATCTCTTTAACTTTCAGGACCAAAGTGCTCCTTTCTGGCTACCACTTGTCTATGTGTGTTGCCCCTTCCTTAGAATTAAAGCTCCTTTAGGGCAAGGACCATCTTAGCTTTTGTATTTGTATCCCCAATGCTTTAACACAGTGCTTGGCACATAATTAAGTATTTTTTAATTTTTTCATTCTTTCATTTCTTCAAAGGAATCCAGGAATAAAAAAATTAAGGTTTCTTTGAACTTCTTTTGCTGTTCTCTAACAAAAAAAGAAAGAAAAAAAAAGAAAGAAAAGGCTGTGTGTGAGATTCCAGGGTACAAGTAGCTGCCAAGTAGAAGGTGGGGGTGAGAACCAGAGAAGGCATTTTAATTGAGATATAAAGGATAGATAGGTAGGAATTCAACAGGCAGAGCAGGATAGAGGCCATCCGAGGCACAGGGAAAAACAAACAATGGCACTGAGGACAGGGAGTATTGTGCATTTAGAGGAATAGAAAGTAGACCAATTCAGCTGAGCAGAAGGTTTGTGGAGGAATAATAGAAAGGTAAGACTAGAGAGAAGGTTAGGATGGCACCATGATGGGCCATGTCCGAAACCTGTTCTGGGAACCACATCCATCCACTCCACCATGAAATGAGGCCAGAGGGCCAACAGCACAAAAGAAAGGAATGGCAACAACTGCCCCAGAACAACAGAAGAATGGAAGGCAGAGGTCATAGTTTCATTACCCCATCCTCTTGGAGAAAAGATTCACATTAAAAAATGGGGAGAGCTAATGATGCAGCCAAGGGCTCCAAACATCTGGACAGTATAGAGTGTGGAGAAGCAAGTGCTTACCTGGATTTTGTAGTCAAATTGGTTCCAGTCCCTCAGACTTTTGGAACTCATGGTGGAATGGTATAAGAGTAACATGATCACCTAGAATCAGTTATGAAGACAAGTTCTCAGTCACCCTTTCCCAATGCTCCCAACTTGGGTCTGTATATCCATTTACATACTGTAACTACACACCAACACCCAATGGTACTATCTGTGTATCTGCCTGCCTTACTGGAACTAAAGTGTAGGGACGTTGAGGCTAAGTGTCTTGTTCCATATTCCCAGCCCATGTGATGGACCAAGAGGGCACTCGCGAGTCAACAAACACTGACTGAGTACCTGCAGTGGGGAAGATCCTATGTTAGCATTCATCACAGGTCCAGATAATGTCAGGTCAAGGGCTGTGAGGAAAGGTCTGAAGCATGCTGCATAGAACGATTTAATTAAGCATTGCTGCCCCACCTAGCACACACGCTTATCTCTACCTTCCAGAAGAAAAGCAAAAGAAGCTGAGAGCTTAGATGGAGATAAGCAGACCTAAATTAAAATTGGAAGGTGACACTGCCCTAATTCTCAAATAAGGTCCACCTGCTGGCTCCTTACTATCTCCTGTTCCTCAGATGCCCCTGACACAGGGACAAGTTAATACAATCCTTGAGCTGAAAGGAGTCTTCACTGATTGTTTGGAAAGACAAATGAAGCTGTGTCTACTCCAAACTTTCTTTTCCCTCCTTCCTTGAGCAGGTGAATGTCTAAACCAACCAAGGCAGGTAGACATATAGGCTTTGCTTATTTTTGAGAACAGAGTGCCCACAACATCTCTATATATGGGACTAAAGGCCTAAGAGGATCTATCTTGCTTCACCCCCCACCCAGGTGTAGGCACCACTAGTTACCTTGGCCAACTCCAGCTCCTCCCCATCTTCTAGCTTCTGCACAGACACTAGGCTCTCTGAGGAGGACTGATGTTTGCGGTTCTCTACAATGACAAAAAAGCAGGAAAAAGGCATGAGTGAGTACACTCTAAACCCTGCCTAAGGAATACGCCAGCCAGAGTCAAGGTAAACTTCTACACCTTTGGGAGACACGTAAATTTTGCCCCCTGTGTGTTATATGCTCTGTCAGAAGCTCTGAGTCATTACTGTAATGCATTTGACAGTGAAAAAATAAAATCAACATCTCCAAGTTACAAAGAGTAAAATTAAAAGCACGTGCATATGTAAAAACAGCTTGATCCCATGTCTTTTGACCCCTACACCAGTGTTCGATTTTATATTTAGTAAAAAGTAATATCTCAAAGTGTTCCTCTCTGTCCTACCCTTGGCCAACACGTGAGCATGTTGTATCTCAGGTAACTGCCTACTCTGCCTGACCTTTGTTTTTTTATTGATCATAAGTATGGTATCCCTGAAAGTCATTTGCCAGGCAATACTCATTGACTGACAGATAGGTAATCAGAGATCCAGTGACATCTATGTCTCTCCCACAACACAGATCTTCCCTGCTTGAGGCTGCAGGTTAGCTATGGAAGACAACTGACTTGGGAGTGGGGAGGGGGATAGTGTCTACTTTGGCCTGCAATAGTCTGATTTAGTCATTCCTTATTGCTGTAAAAGCAAACTAAAAAAAAGACAGATTATAAGGTTATAACATAACAGGTTATGAATTCTTAATTGCCCAGAATTCTAGAGAGGCCCTAAGACCTTAGCTCCATAGCTCAAAACTCCTTTACATTATCATCCATCTCTTCTTCCTTTTATTCTATATGTCTGAGGATAGACAGTCTTTCTCTTTGATGAGGATGACCTCTTCTCCCATGCCCTTGATTCCATTCCTTCCTATCTCTTCCAGGAGCTTGCTCCACCAATTATTTCCTTTCTCTCTATTTCGAACTTTTGCCTACCTAATGGCTCTGTTCATGCTACATATAAACATACAGAAGTCTACCATTCTTTAAAAAAATCATTTCAGCCTACTATGCCCCCTTAAGCTACAATCCTATATCTCCTTTCCCTTTCACTGCTCAAATCCTTGCAGTCAATGTCTACACTCACTGCCTTCATTTCCATTTCCTATCAATAGCTAGCTAGCATTTACCACCCATTCAATTCTCCACAGTTACTTGCAGTCTGACTTCTGAATGCAAAATGGGACTGCTCTCTCTTCAAGGTTACCAAAGATCTCTTCATTCAAACAGCTTTTTCTCAATCCCCATCCTATTCGTGACCTCTCTGCAGCTTGACACCATAATTACCTTCTCTCATCTTGTATACTTTCTCCTCCCTTTGCTTTTGTGGCAATGTTCTCTTCTGGTTTTTCTCCTACCTTTTGGACTGATTTTTCATGCTCTCCTTCACCAGATCATCATCCATTTCTCATCATTGTAGAGTGGATGCCTCCTAAGAACCTGGGCATTCTTCCCTTCTGTATTCTCCTCCCAGATAATCATGGCAGTTCTCATAGTTCAATGATCTCTCTAAACAGATGACTTCCTAATCCACATAGCCTGCTTTCATGTCTTTTCTCAACTCTAGTCTTTAATTTTCAACTACCAGCTAGATAACTCCTAATGGAGATCCCATTAACAGCTTAAACATTAATGTGTCCAAAACAGAACCATTCATCATCTCCCCAAATCTGCTTTTTTCTTTTTAAACAAACAATTGCAACCTTTTTCGTTTTTCCTTTTTTTTTTTTTTTTTGGTGAGGCAATCGGGGTTAAGTAACTTGCCCAGGGTCACATAGCTAGTAAGTGTCAAGTGTTTGGTCTGAGGCCGAATTTGAACTCAGGTCCTCCTGACTTCAGCACCAGTGCTCTTTCCCCTGCGCCACCTAGCTGCCCCAATTGCAACCTTTTTCAATTCAACTGCCTCATCTCTCATATCCACCGCCTTTTCTCCGTGGCCGCCAGCCTAGTCAAAGCCATTATTCCCTCTCTTCTGGACTACAATAACGGATCCCTAATTAGAATTTCCATTCCAAACGATTCTCACCACAGCTGACAAATCATCTTATGAAAACGGGAGTATGGCCTTGTCACTCTCCTGTTCAAAAAGCTCCAGTGGCTTCTCATCATCATGAGGCTAAAACAGCAATGCTTTGGCTTGGCACTGAAGCCCCTCCACAGCCTGGCCTTATTCACACTAGTTACATTCCAGGCAAGTAGGAAGAGAAGGTGCTCTTGGTGTGTGATACTTCATCTCCCATTCCTCCACCAGAAAAGCCCTTGGTCATCCACATTCTTTGCTTCCTTTCAAACCCTTCTCAAGGGTTACTTTCTCTGACGTCTCCCAGTTGCTAGTGATCTTCTCCTCTCCAAATAAATACAGGATGTCTCTCTAGCAGACTGTCCTGAGACACATGTACTCTGAGGGAGTGCAGGGACCATTTGTTCCTGTTTTACTACCTCCTGAACTTAGCACAGCACTCTGCATATAGTAGTCACCTAATAAACAACTACTTCAGTTGTTGAGCTGAATTGACTTGAATCAGTAGAAACAACGTGTTATAATGGAAAGTGCTCTGGCCCTAGAGTCACATGTCCTGGATGGATATTTACTGGACTGTAACCCCAGGGAAAGTTAGGCAATATCTCTGAACCTCAGTTTCCTGGGCTGCAAAATTGGAATTACAATACTTGCACTACCTACCTAACAGTGGGGTTTTGAAGAACATTGTTTGCACTTTAAAGGCACTACAGAAATTGGAGTTATCTTACTGTTTTTACTTTTTCAGAATTTTTATCTGTGCCAATTCACCTTCCCCACAACCTTATAAGGAAAGGAAGGTAGCTATCCCCCACTTTTTACAGGTGAAGAAAGTGAGGTTCAGCAGGCAAAGTGGAAGCAATATGCTCAAAAGTTTATACAATTTTTATATCCAAGGAAGGAAAGAGAGACCTCAGTCTTTAATTCCCCACTCCCTCCTCAGGGCTGAGAGGGAAAGAAAGCCATGCACGGTATGACATGCTGCCTCAGACAGACTCATAAAACACAAGGTTCTCTTTAGCCACGACACCTACATCTCTCAGTGTGTAGATGTTTCCAGGTCTTGAGGGTGGCTGTGGGATCACAGCTGGCTCTGTCCTATTTATTCTTCTAAAAAAGGCCAGGCCTTCTCCTTTCTCCAAGGGCCCCTAAGACCTCACCTTCTGGCTCCCTGGTCCCCAAGGGATAAGAAAATGAAACTCCTTTCCCAGCAAGTTGAGAAAGATGCTTACTCTGCAGAAAGTTGGAGATGAAGTTGAATCTGTCCAGCAGAGGCTGCTGCAGGATCTGTTGCCCCTCTTCAGTGCCATGGCTAGAAAGAGAGGACATATTAAGACAAGGGTGATTGGATAGATAACTGCTCCATTCCATCCCCAAACAACTTCTCCCAAGTCCTGCCTTGCCTGAGGCCTAGAGTCCTACAAGCAGGCCAGCCCCGCATTTGTTTCTGGGAAAGAGAATAAAAAAACAATCTGTCTACCATTCACAGCCTTCTTACCTTCCTCATCTAGTGTTTGCTTCTGTATAAAGGAAGGAAGAAGGATGAAATAACGGGGCTGCATGACCACTCTTTAAGGATGTTAGAGTAAAAGGGCTGCTGGAGCTAAGCTAGATGCTCTCTAAAGTCTTTTCAGATAGAAATCTTTAAGACATTTTACAATCTGGGGAAGACCGAGGTCAGATGTAGTCTACCTCCCAATACGGGAAAGCTCAACAGAAGATTAGATCTATTCAAGTCACTTCGTTGCTCAAAAGTCTTCAGTGGCTCACTACTGCCTATCATAAAAATCTTCTCCTTGGTATTCAGAGACCTCTATAATAATCTGGTACCATTCTACTTTTCCAGTCTTATCTCACATCAGTTGTTCTAAAATCCGGTCAAAACGGACAGTTCTTTGCCTTTCCAAATACCTGCACTTTCATGACTTTGCACTACTATTGCCTGTGTCCAAATGCCCTTTGTCTTGCTCTTTACCTACTAAACTTCCTATACCTCTTTTAAAATCTAACTCAAATACCACCCATTCCAGGAAGCTTTTGTTACAACCCTTCAGTCAGTTAAGTCTTTGCCCTCTGGATCTTTGTTTTCTCATGTACTCAGGGTCACTACTCACGTATGCCATGACTACCCGTATTGGGATCTTATTCAGCTACCAGACTCTAACCTCCCTGAGGAGACTGTGCTACATTAAACCTTACATGTCCCCCAACCCTCAACCTGGGGCTCTATAAATAGTACACATTTAGTGGTCATGGTTTGTTTGCAATTCTCAGGATTCCAGAGAAACGGAAGAAGCAAGAATGGGCAGGGTAAAAACAGATGGGAGAAGGAAGAATGAGTGGAAAGCTAGGCCAATGGCTCTTGAAGAGCTACCAAAGAAAGGACACGATGTTAGAAAAGTCCTGGACATAGCAAAGGATAACACTGAATGGGGACTGTGGAGATCCTGAGATGTGACCAACAAATGAAAATGACTGTACAGAAAAGAGAAGAGAGGCTCTGGAGAGACAGGGCAGAATTCACCACTGAACAAGGCTGAAGGCAAACAGAATCTGTAAAAAGACCAAGTTGTTACATGTTTTAACAGAACTTGGGTATGAGAACAAGAATCCCACCATCTCTAGTATTTACTTAGTAGGCTGCACAAAACAGGAACAAAGCCAACCATGACAGAGAAGAAGGCAGCAGGGGGAGCTCTCAAATCAGAGTAAAAACCAACAGCTTTACAGACCACAACAGATAAAAGGAACAAAAGTTTGGCTTTAAAATCCAACAAAATCCTTCTTGCTAGTTCCTGCCTTAATAACTTACACATTTACCTGCCCCACCTTAGAATGCCTCTCTTCCCATCTAAATACTGACCATCCTTCAAGGCCAAGGTCACCCCAGTAAGTCTCTTCTTTTCTTCCAAGAAGTCTCTAGTACACCAGCCCCAGTCCTATTTCCTGAGTCTGAACTACTGTATCATAATCTGAGTCACAAAGCTAGTACTTAAACATTCTCTAACAGTTTAATGCACTTTCAGTTCCTGGCAGGCACAGAGCATATCTTATGTGTCTTCGTATTCTCTATCATGCATAGCACGGTGCTTAAGGCATCCTTACTGGCTGACAGACCTGGGCTAGCCTATACATTAAACAGAGGCAAGAAAACGTGCCTTGTTAACCTCACTACTCAGTCTCCTGGCAGAGCTCATCAGTCAATCTTCACTGCCTTGGCCACAATGTACACCTCAAAGCTGTCTAGTTTGTCACCTTACTGTTTTAAAAATAAGGCTTTAACTGGTCATCCCAAGACAAGAAGTAGCAAAGACTGAATGCTAGGTAAGGCAAACCCACGTTAATTTTTCCTTAGCTTGTGAGCTTTCCCACCCAGGAACAAGCCCTGCTTTATTCCTACAACTCTTTCTCTTATGACATTTTAATATCTCGTAGATGGAAGGGATCTCTGAGGTTATCTAGTCTGACCTGTTCCTGAAGAGAAATTCAGTTTCCTAACTCTGCTTAATGACTTCTAGTGATGGGAACTCACTACTGCCACTGGTCCAAGGCCAAGTATAATAAATCTAATCCCTTTTTCACATGACAGTCTTGGTTAAAAGATGGTGACCACATTCCTCCAAGACTTTTCTTCTCTAAAAATAAAAATTACCTTAATTTCCATTGGCAAGTACAAGTAACAAATACAGAAACAAGGGAATAACAAAAGAATTATGAGTCAATGAAAACCAAAACCGAGTTTATAAATTACATAGTCTATAAACTTCTATTTATAGATCAGCTCCATCCAAAAAATATATATGTATATGCTGCTTTCACCTCACAGAACTTAGAACGCCCTTGTTTTGGGATCATTTTTTAGCTTCAAACATGGATTTCTGCTGTTACTGTTGTCCTTATCAACACCGTCAACCTGTACTTGTTCTTTTGGGTCTACTTTCTTCGCATTTAAGTCTTTGCTATTCCCTTGGCGTGGCCACAGTGGGCCTCCCTGCATTCTTTTTGTTATTCCTCATATGTAGTGGTGGGGTTCTCAGCTTCCTGTTCTCAAAAGGACACAGTAGGAACCTTATGTTTTCCTGAACTGAATTCAATTCTTCATAAGGAGGGAGGTTAGAACAGATCATCCCTAAGGTTTCTTCCTTACATTACAACCCCTGTGAAAGGGTTTCCACTGGGATGCTATGTACGTGTGTCAACTTATATACATACACACATACAACATACATACACAGATGTACACCTAACCCACATACAACCTATATACATACACACATATATATCCAATTGGTTAAAAGACTGTACTCAGGTGGAAACCTCAATTTTTGTCCTAATAATGTTTATTTAATCAGTTTTAAATTATTTCTTTCTCTTTGTCTCTGTCTTAAGTAAGCCTTGATCTGGATAATGAAAGACAAAATAGGATTTGGGCATGGAGGGGAGGAAAAAGAGCCATGGATGGGTTGGGAAAATTTTTCATATGCAAAATGATATGATGAAAGCAGCATTTAAGAAAGATTGGCCTGACATCAATGTATGGACTGTATCAGAAGACAGAGAGAGGTGGTAGTGAAAAGACTGTTTCTCCTTTACTGCAGTAGCTTTCTAAGCACAGCAGCAGTGCCTTGGGCAGGGATTATGGGGGGGGAAGACAAACAGGAAGGAAAGACACTCAAAGAAGAATCGATAGGATTTGACAATTGCTTGGCTGGGGTTATGGATGAGGAGAGAGAGGAACGAGAAAGAATCAAAAGTACCTGAGGTTTTGGGGAGTACAATGAAGTATCTCTGGCCACAAGAACAGGGCCCGGGGCTAAGGCCAGTATACTCTGAAGTTTCATGGAATCATAGAATCAGACTTGAAAATTAGACTCTTACAAGAAGGCATGAGGATTTAGTAGAAAAAGCCCTGGATTTGGAATCAAGGACCTCTTTTCAAACAAAGCCCAATCTCTGCACTTAACTTTAAGCAAGTCACTTAGTCTCTATGGATTTGTTCCTTCATTTGTAAAATAAGTTATACTAGATGACCTTTGTGGTTCCTTCCAACTTTAAATCTGCAGTCCTATAAGCTCAGAAGGTATCTAGTCAAACTTAGTCCCTTCTCTCTCATTTTCCCTCCTTTGCTCCCAATTCTTCCCTCTGAGGCCAAACAAAATAACTCAAATTCCAGTTCCACATATATGCCTTCAGAATGGCTGTAGCCAGGAAATCAAGCCCTCTTAAGTTCTCTTTTCTAGGCTAAATCTCCAGCTCCTTTAATTGATCCTTGCACAACCTGCTGCAATTTCATCATCCTGTTCTCTTCTAAAGAATCTCCAGTTCGCCAACATTCTCCCTAAACATGGCTCCATAACTGGATATGACCCTCTACATGTGGTATAACCAGGACAGAGGACACATGGAGACTCAGTCTAATTCCCAATTGCTTGCAGAACTGCTGGACCAATTCACAGCTCTCTCAATAGTATGTTAGTGTGCTTGTCTTTCCATAACCCCTCTAATAGTGACTTTCCATCTTTTGACAAATTTGCCAGCTTTCTAGGTGTGAGGCAGAACCTCAAGAGTTGTTCTGATGTGCACTTGGAGCAGTCTTTCATATAGCTATTTAGAATTTGCAATTCTTTTGAGAACCATTTGTTCATCTCTTTTGACCACATCCATTTGGGGATTGCTCATGGTCACATAATCTGTTAGTTCCCTACATACTCTGGAAATCAGACTTTAGTCAAAGATATTTGATGCAAAGATTTTGTTCATGCAAAACATTTTCCATTTTCACGTAAACAAAATGGTACATTACCTCCCTTTAAGTTTTGTTTGGTTAAGAATTCTCCCTTCAACCAAAGGTGTACCTGATCTGATTTTTTTTCTGCTTTTAAAAAAAGTAGTGACCTTTAATATTGAGGTTGTGTATCTACCTTTACTTATTTTGTATGTCGTGTAAGATGTTGCTCAATAAGATTTCTGCCAAAGAATTGGAGATTACGGGGATGCCCATTAACAGGGGAATGGCTGAACAAGTTGTGGTATATGAGTGTAATGGAATACTACTGTGCTATAAGAAATGATGAACAGGCTGACTTCAGAAAAACCTGGAAAGACTTGTATGGACTGATGCTGAGTGAAGTGAGCAGAACCAGGAGAATGTTGTACACAATAACAGCCATGTTGTGTGATGACTTAACAGCGACAGATTTAGCCCTTCTCAGCAATGCAAGGATCTAAGACATCTCCAAAGGTTTCATGATGGAAAATGCTATTTACATCCAAAGAAAGAATTATGGAGTTTGAATGCAGATCAAAGCATATTATTTGCTATTTTTTTTCTTCTGTTTTGTTTCCTCTTTCCGGTGGTTCCTCCTATTGGTTCTAATTCTTCCTTACAACATGACTAACGTGAAAATATGTTTAATAGGAATGTACATGTATAACCTTTATCAGATTGCATGCCGTCTTGGGGAGGGGCAGGAGGGAGGAGAAGAAAAATTTTAAACTCAAAAGCTTATGTTTTTTATGATTGTTGATAAATCAAAATAAATTAATTAAAAAAGAAAAAAGAAAAAAAATAAGATTTCTGCCAAACTGCTAGTAAAGAACATTTGCAAAGCAGAAATCAGTGCAATACTTCTCAGACAAAGAAGATTCCTAGGATAATCAACCCTGTGCCAACTAGCCTCTTATAGCAAAAAGATCTCCAGATTTGGAATTACAGGACCTGGGACTGAATTCCATCTCTGCTATAAATCATCTGTATGACTTCAGGCAAGTCATTCCACTCTTAACACTTTAGTTTGCTTATCTGTGTTACTGTTGTTTGTCCTTTTAGGTAGAAGAAGGCCGGAGGGGTGTACTAGGTCAGTGATATCAAACTCAAATAGAAATGTGGGCCAATATACCATGCATAAGGATCCCTGTGGACCTCATACTGACTTAGAAAATTACAAGCTAATATTATCTATGTTTTGGCCTAAGAATTGTTTGACACCTTTGGACTACAGGATCTCCACTCTCAGACCCCATCCAATCCCACCATAAATACTTAACTGGGGCATATCCTAGAATACCTTCTAGGGATTTCGGTAATCATCAATAATTACCATCTGCATACCTACCCTTTAAGGTATTTTAATCCCTCTTCCCTGAATTAAGCCTTTCAGAGATTGGAAGATAGTGAGCTAGTCTCTCTCAACCCTCAAATTTTCTCTTTTGTGCTCAACATCTCAAGGTTCCTTTACATGATCCCTACATAGACCAATCTACATTACTCTAGTTACTCACTTATGGACAACCAATTCTTGTCATATCTATCCCCTTAGGACACAGGCCCTAGGGAGAGAGGGTCTCTTGGACACTGTGTTCCCCATCCAGGAGCCTCTTGCTTCTCTTAAAGGTCACCGGAGAAGGGAAGGTTCCTACTCACATGCGATTGATGATCTGGATGAAGATGTTGCAGTCTTGGAGCTCTAGCACTGAAGTCACAGGTTCAGCAACCTGGAGGCTATTCACCTGCAAGACAGAAGAGAGCCAGATAAAGCAGCAGTCACTGGCCCTTAGCAGGGCAGTCTCGAAGGTCAGACCTTTCTTAGGCTTAGGACTTTTAGGACTCAGGTCAATGCATACGCCCTTCTACTAACTACTGGGGTTGTATGAACAGAAAGATGAGGACAGACGTATGATATTGTTAAGGAATAAAAAAGACTTGGCAAATAACTAGTTTTGGGGGCAGAGAGAAAGTCCTCAAGATCACATCATATTTAGATTGGAAGAAGGAACTGGTGATTTTTAACTTGCAGAACAGAAAACTAAGAGAAGACATGATAACTGTCTTCAAGTATCCAAAGATCTATTATAGACATTAGGTTTCTTCCATTTGGCTCTATAAGGGAACAGCAAGGGGGAAAATCTGCAGAGAGGTAAATTTGATCTTCATGTAAAAAAAAAAAAAAGAGTAACTCCTAAGGGCTCTGCCAAAGTGGAATGGGCTGCCCTGAGAGATAGTGAGTTTCCCCTTCATTTGAAATCTTCAAACAAAGGCTGAACATTTATTGGGAAATGTTACAGAGGATATTCCTTCAGGAATAGGTGGAATTCCACAATAAGGAGTGACAAATATTTCTTCATGTTTAATACATTTAGAGCCATTAGAGGTCATCTAATCCTTAATTGGTTTTAAAATTTTCATTCATGCTATTTACGTTTCAGTAACCTGATTATTTCTCTCACCCTCTTCCCACTTAGCAAGACATAACTTGTAACAAAGAAGAAAGAAAAAAAAAAGTTCAGCAAAACCAACCAACATATATCAACTGTGTCTTGCAGTCTTTTGTACCATTTCCACACCTACAGCCCTCACCGCAAAGAAGAGAGGGAAGTAGATTTTTTCAACTTTTCACTGGTCATAATTACAAAGAATTCAGAGTTTAAAAAGTAATTCTTTCCATTTACACTGTGGTCAGAAAGTTCTGAGTTTTGATATTAGCTGTGTGACCTGAGGTAAATCACTTAACTTCTGCCAACCTCAGTTTCCTCATCTGTAAAATGAGGATAATAATAGCATCTACCTCTCCCAGGGTTAATGTAAGAATAAAGTAATTACTGTAAAGTGCTTTGAAAACCTTAATAATGATATTATTATTAATCTTGGTATATACTGTTTTTCTATTTCTACTTATTTCACTGTTCATTAGTTTATGTTTTTCCATGTTTCTGAATTCTTCAGAAGACTCAAGGTAAAGTCTCAGCCTCAGACACTTACTAACTGCGTGACCCCGGGCGAGTCACTTAACTTTTTACAATCCTCAACTGTAAAACTAGGGATGATAACAGCACCAATCTCCTAGAGTTGTTGTGAGGATCAAGTAAGGTAATCCTTGTAAGGCACTCAGCACCTGGCACACAGAAGATGCTAATGCTTCTTTCTTTCCTCCTCCACTTCGTTCATGTAGCACAATTTGTTTGACTATTCCCTAATCAATCGTTATTTATTTTGCTTCTAGTTTGTTTTGGTTTTTTACAATCATATCATTTTAAAGATGAGGAAACTAAGGCCCAAAGAGAAGGTCAGTCAGTCAGTAAACACTTATCAAGCACCTGTGCTGTGCTAAGCATTTGGGATACTAAGGTAAAAAACAGTCCTTGCTCTCAAGAAGCTCACAGTCTAATTGGGGAGACGACAACTACATACAAACAAGATGTACTGGAAATAATCAACAGAGTGAAGGCACTAGAATTAAGAAGAATTAGGAAAGGCTTCCTATGGAAGGTGGGGTTTTGGCTGGGACTTGAAGGAAGCCAAGTAAGCCAAGAAGAGACGACGAAGAGAATTCTAGGCACGGGGAGACTGTCAGTAAAAACACCTGGGTTGAAAGACAGAATGCTTGCAAAGGAGGTCAGAGTCACTGGATGGAAGAGTTTGTTGGGGAAGGGAGAAAAAGAGGGAAGAGGGAATAAGAAGAATGGAAAAGGTGGAGGGAGGTTATAAAGGGCTTTGAATACCAGAGGATTTTATATTTGATCCTGGAGCTGATAAGGAGCTACTGGAATTTATTGAGTATGAGGGTGACATGGTAAGACCTGCACTTTATAGAAAGATCACTTCGACAGCTGAGTAGAGGATCGACTGGAGTGGGGAGAGACTGGACGCAGGCAGACTTACCAGTAGGCTACTGCAAAAGTCCACGCATGAGCTGATGAGGGCCTGGACCAGGGTGGAAGCAGTGTCAGAGACAAGAAGGGGGTGTATTGGAGAGATGTTTTAAAGATCAAAATGACAGGACTTGGCAAGAGATTGGATATGGGCAATGAGAGTAAGAACCTGAAGATGACACCTAGGTTTCCAGCCTAGGTGACTAGGAGATTGCTGGGGCCCTCAACAGTTACATCGGAAGTTCAGAAGAAAGGAGGATTTAGTGGGGAAAAATGAACTCTGTATTAGACATGTTGATTTAAGATGTCCAATAGACAACTAGAGATATAAAACTGGAGATCTGAGAATCATCAGCATAGAGATGATAACTGAATCCAAGGGAGCTGAGGAGATTACCAAGTGAAATAGTATAGTGGGGGATAAGAAGAGAGTCCAGGATAGCCCAGAAGAACACCTAAGGTTAGCTTAAATGATCTGGATAAAGACTTGAGAAAGAGTGGTCAGATAGGAGGAGAACCAGGAGAAAGGTGTCCCAGAAACCTAGAGAGAACAGAATATACTGGGATTTGATCCTAGGGCTTCTGACTAAAAATCCAATGTTCATGTAACATTCAAAACCAGCCACTGTTGGCAAGAATTTGTCACTACATTATCAAATATAAGAACCTGCAAAGCAAAATGTAAATGTAAACCAAGGAGTGGGGGGTAGAGAGGGGTGTGAGTTTGAACTTATTTAAATAGTAAATTGCTAAGAACTTTAATACAGTAATTATTTGCATACAAATAGTTTCTGACTATTATAAACAGTGGACCAAGCACCACACTAGAAGTCTAGAGAACTAAGTTATATTCTCAGTAATAATTAACTTTCTATATGACCTTGGGCCTCAGTTTCCTTACATGTCAAATAGGTATAAATAACAATGGATATACTACCTGATCAAAGAATTGTTACAATGAAAAAGGCATACTATATTTGTGGAAACCTTTGAAAATTGTAGAATGCTGGATAAAAGTTAGGAATGATGACAGTTCTAAGCAATAAGAATATAACAGACCTAGCAAGGTATCTATCTCCTTCTGTCCCCTGATGCCCTGTAGCTGTTTCTTACTTTTGAGACCCTTCAATAACTACAACTTTCTCACTCTGGAATATCACTCAGCTGTGCTGGCCCCCTCCCTCCTGAGGCCTCCATTTTGGGAAGGCTCCCAGGTCTGGCAACTTTTATTCTCCTTCTGACTTTCCAGATTTTGACACCAAGAAAGGTGCTGATCATTTGTTCTCTTTTGATTACCTTAGTAGAATAGTAAAAATAATAATGATATTCAAGTCATTTCAGTCAAAATCAATGGTCAAGTTTGCTGCTGTTCAACCTACTGCTATATTTTGCCTTGTAATGGGTGTCCCCAATTGGCATGCTGCTTAAGAACAAGAATGAAATACATATATCAAGTTTAGATTTTCCCCAATATGCTTTCTTCATGTGACAAAGCAGGAACTTAATTACTTGCTAATGATGCTAAAAAGGCTTTGTATTGTCATATGGCTGCCTCACAAATGGCTCAAACATGACCCATATTATCTCGTGGTGTAATGGAAGGTGTATAAGGCCAGAGAAGATGCCTGCATTACCTTAGTAAGTCACTTCTCCCAGATGTTGCACCCCACTGCCTCACCCCCCCTCCCCCAAATGAACAGCTGGATTAAACAGCCTTCTAAGATCTTTTTCAGCCCCAAGCCGTGGGACCATATAATCTCATTAATTCACTAAGCTTAGCGAAGTAGGGAGAGGGAAGCAGGGCTTTCTTTACTGGATTTTCAGAGCTTTAGGACAGTGTTTTTCTCAGGGGGATAGAATATTACTCCAGAATATTTTGGACTTGTGGTTCATTGCTTTCTCATTTTGTATTTGCATTAATATGTTCTTGTTTTTTTCGTTTTGTTTTTAGGCAATTGGGGTTAAGTGACTTGTCACACAGCTGCATTAATATGATTTTTAAAAAAGGAAACAAAGCCCTCAACAATTTTTAAGGAGAGAATAACAATGACAGCCCACATTTATATAATTGTATGGTTACAAAGCACCACACTAACCCTTAGGCTCTCTTAAGTTCTTTGGCCCATAGTTTTCTCATCTGTAAATCAGAGATAATACTACTAGTATTATCTAGTATTTTATTATTTATTATTAGGCTAGTATTTTTTAAACTCATAAATTATATATATTATATATACACACATACATACACAATCTGATTATTTATGTACATTACCTCATTTGATCTTTTTAAAATTTAACTTTTTTCTTTTTGGCAATTAGGGTTAAGTAACTTGCCCAGGGTCACACAGCTAGTAACTGTCAAATGTTTGGTCTGAGATGGCATTTGAACTCAAGTCGTCCTGACTTTAGGGCCAATGCTCTACTCACTGTGTCACCTAGCTGCCCCTATTTTTCTCAGTCTACAAATTCTACTCACTCATTAAAAGAAAAAAAAAGAAAAAACCGGTATAACAAACATGTATAGTCGAGCAGAACAAATTTCTACATTGGTTATCTCTTATTTAATCTTCACACCAACCCTACAAAATAGGCAGGGCAAAGATTATAATTTCCAGATGAGGAAACGAAGGCTCAGAGAGATTACAGTCATATGGCTAGTATGTAATAGAGCCAAGACTCAAAGAAACTATAACCTAATAGAATTCATTCCAGTATTCCCCAGTACTATTCAGGAGACAAGCATCCTCCCAGCCTCTCAGCTTTACAACCTTATTTCTATCTTTGAATTTTCCTCCACTTACCATGCCACTCAGCTAAGTCCTGTTGATCTGCTCTCTCCAAGAAGTCTTGCATTCATT